TATATATATATATATATATATATATATATATATATATATATATATATATATATATATATATATATATATATATATATATATGTACTCATACAGCTTAGTTTTTAACTTTCCTTTTAATTTTTGAATGAATTATGCTAAAACTCGACAGTGATGCGTTTAAAGCTGATATATTAATTGCAAAGAATACCTAAATCAGCAGAAAATTTCTAAAAAAGCGTTCAGTAGAAGCCAAATTAATTTGCGTAATAGGAAAATGATGTATAGCATACAAAAGTGGGCGCGTCGCTTGAAAATAAATTTTGGTTGGAGGCTGTTTTCTACTGCATTGCTTAAATGAATCTCAACTGTTAAGAGAAAATACAAGGAATTAATGATCTCCAAAAAATGACGCCATCTAAGATTCCTCGGATTCCCATATCGGTGTGCATTTAATAAATGAATGTAGAAATATGAACTAAAAATCAACAAATAATCGATGCATAATACAACTGGCTAAGTAATTTATGGTATAAATAGTGCTAAGTATAGTGAAAAGAAATATAATAACCAGATTGATTAAAAACCAATGAAAGCAAGCACATAAGTATGCAGTATGTTCACAAATTTACAAAACACGGCTAGCAGTAAAAATGGTAGACACATCCTCGACAATACTTTTGTTGCCATCTGTTGGTGAGAGGGCTGCATTTGGCTCGAGAATGACACTTTCAGCAAGCATATCCCTCTGAGAAAGATAACTGTTCCGAGATAATAATGAGAGCCGATTATCCACAACCTAAAATCATTTCAATAAATTTTCAAATGTTTCTGATTTCTGTCTGGATCTAATCTTTTTTCACCCTTATTCCAACTTGGAATAAACTGGTGCCTTGTAACTCTCTAGTTTGTTTTTCTAAACTCAAAAAAAAGGAACGCATTTAAAATACCGATATCAAAGTTACTCTTAATCCCAATTCGAATGCATCACGATCATAGAAACCATAACAAGCATCCTCGGAAGCTGTGGATTTACATTTCTCTTCGTTTATGAATTTGCATTTCGTAAAAGTAAACCCATTAAAAGTAAAATTCGCACATTTCATATCTTCATATCTAAAATTCTCCAGTTTAAATAAATATTTGCTGCAAACAAACATATAGGAACAACGTCAAGATTAAGAAAAATGAATCAAATATTTACAGAATACAATGATATCCACTATCTCTGCTGTTCCCTCAAATTCCTATTACCTTTTAAGTCGGCGTCTTTGTGCCTCTTCACCCCAAAGTAACTGAACATAATACTGAGTATTTCCTGCTACCGACGGCATTGAAAACGAAGAAAAAGGAAATGAGCGGTTTGAATTACCATTACTTTCTTCGCTACAGAAAGAAGGAACTTCAATAGCGAACTTCTGTAAATTTAATAAATCACATTTCTGAATAAAGTGATAAAAATCAAAGGAATCGACATTAATATTTAACACTTAAAACTGCACTTGAATTACCGGCAATCGAAATCAAAATGAAACATCAAATTGGTAATAGCTCTTAGATTTCTACATGTTCTGTTCAGAAAGAAAGCTTGAAAGAATCACTTGTTTACTGCGATGCAAAATGGAAACGCAGTCCGATGGCACAATAGTGCATCGACCGACAGCTTTTTTTGTTTCTTTATTCACTACAGCAACACGCACAAATGCATCTCTGGAAATTAAAAATAACAACAAAAGAAAGAGAATATTTCAGTGAGTTTCGAATAAAAAAAATCCTTGATATTTTAGTGCAAGAAGAACATGGCTAAAAGTCAACTTTTTGACTGGACACATGGTACTAGTTGCAAGAAGAAAAAAGGATGTCTACAGATAATTGAAAATAATTCAAATGAACCAAGAATGTGTCGCTAGAAATTGAATTGTAAAAGCAACAAGAATCACGGATCACGATGAAATAGGTTGGGAGGTCAATTTCGAATAAAAGATAGTGTAAAAAGGTAGGCAATATTGCTTATAAAAAATATAGAAGAAGTACTGCAAATAGAATACCTTAGACCCTTATTTTCAACCTCGAAACTAATATTTGTAACTCCTTGAGTCGTCAGAACAAATGAGCCATCACGCAGCATAGTCAGTCCAGACTGTGTCAGAATCCGTAAAGCAGCAACACCACCACTTCCAAGTAAAGGAATCTAAATTTTAAATCCAGATATTTGCCGCATTTTTCAGACTTTTGATCCTCAAATAAATCTTGATATCTCAGTGGAAAAGGAACAAAAATGTTAACAGAATGCAATAAAGAATAAGCACTCACGGAATAATTAATGTGCTCTGCGTTGAGAACTCTGATAGTCAGAGTATTCTGAAAACAAGCTCCAAAAGGAGGTTGAAATATGACATGAACCAAATGGATTTCTTGAGGCTTCAACACAATAATGCCCTGCTCTAGTAACTATAAAAATATACTTCAGTTTTAGGGATCCTCTTCGATTACTGAAAGGATTAAAGGATATTTGTTAGTTCCTGTGATGCAATAATAATTAAATAGTAAACAACAAATGCCGATAAAGTTCATATCTGAGAGTAATAATTACATACTTCATATCCTCTACTCATGCTATGTAACTGTAGCCTGAGATTTAGCGATTTCGAACTGATATTTCGCAATCTAACTGTTCTATTTACACGACACTTGACATCGACAAATCCAAAATAAACAAAAGACTGATCACATGATAGAAATTTGCCTTGACTTTCCGCATCGGTGTGCCGAAGTGAGCTTCAATAAATCCACACGTGAACATAAATAAATAACATTCAAACTGGCGCTTCGCCTAATTATCAAATACTACAGTACTTTGAAAGCTTAAAAGTTTATATCTGAGAGTAATAACCCTGGGTTATAATTACCGATACAATTTCATCCTTCGCATTTTGAACATTTCATTACTTGATGAGAAGATAAAATTAACTTCAAATCTCAAAAACTAAAGTCACTTCTAAGTATTAGACCATTATATCTATGTATATTTTTATGAAAGTTATTTGACCAACTGATCATAGGGATGCGAAATAGCAGACCCGACTGAAATATGGAAAACGATAGCTATAAAATATTTCTGTTACACAGACTTACCAATCATTGTGCACTTTCAGACTATCACTTTTCCACATCGTTTTTAAGATTGGTGGCAAATTTCCTGGAGTATTACTACTCTCCCGCAATAAATCCAGCTCTTGTACAGTTTTTAGCTTCTTCGTTTTATTGGTTATTCCTGAACGGTCATGTCTGGTAATCACTGGAAAGATTAAGTCTTATATTCTTGCCAATCTCAATCATGAATGCCATACATACCGAGACTTTGAAATTCTTAAGTTAAAATTTAAAATTTTGCCACAACCCATGAACACAAGCAGAAAAGGGTAAAAGGATATGACTGACTCATATGACCAGTTTTTCATAAATGAAAGAAAAAATACCAACCTTTGTGCATTTGTTTATGATCATTAGTATTAGATATCTTATCTACACTATCCAGTACATCAGCTGACTCTTCACACCTTTTCAAGGAACGTTTTACTTGGTCTAAAACAATCGGTACGTCATCAGTGAAACAGATACTTTTCACTACCCTAGCATTCCGGTTTGAAACAGAAACAAACTGAGAGGATCATTCAGAAGTTGAAACTGAAATCAAAAACTTCCATTCACGTGCCTACTCATAAAACTGAATGCAAAAAAAAAGGTTTCCGAACCTCAACAAAAAAAGAAAAAAACGCTATACATTTCTATATCAAATCATAACAGAAGCACAAATTTCTCTAAATGGCAATCGAAAGTAGAGATGGTTTACTGAAACTTAAAATCTCAAAACCTCCCAACATAAAATATGTAGACAGACCATTTGTCCCAGGTCGTTCTCCTGCAACTATTTCAGGAAACTTCAGCTTCAGACGAGGGCGTGCTTTAGCTTGTAGCAATGCTTCAACGAGTGCATCATCATTGTCAAAATTTTCCTTCTGTAGGAAACATTTTATAATATGCTTTCTATTCATGACATCATTTCAACTGGAATTAAAGCAATCTTCAATTGAACAGCAACCTCAAGAACTCTGTCGATGGCAGAACTACTTAACGATGGTTCTTCCACGACCTTTGACATTCTGCGGGGCATCGTGAAAGGACCACTGAACTTCAAATTCATCCCACGAACTGATTTAGGTGAAACTGTTTCCGGATAAATTGACGAAATGCAATTTATACTCAAATCTCGAAGCGAAGTGTCTGTTGCTGAAACATATAAACTGATCAAATAACTATAGCTTAAAATATATCTTCGGTATTGCGAAATTTTCGCTTCCAGCAAATCTAGGAAATTAAAGCTTATTACCATTTAGAGAATTATCATTTACTTCACTATATCCCAAAAAGATCTAAAATTATGAGCATGTATTGGGAATAGAAAAAAGATCAGATAGAAGGCAAAATAATTCTTATTTCTGATAGCCTGGGAAACTTCAGTAACCGTTAAATTCCGCAATTAATAGAAAATGCCATATGATATTTACATTTAGGTGTAGACATTTTGGGTCCACCAGAATTCTGCTTTGGTTCATTCTTTCTCTTCAAGTGTCGCACATATGAGAAGGTACCTGGTGGTGTGCTTTCAATATCCTGCCTTGCTTCTTTTCGAGTAGTAGACAACGTAGCGGGTATTAAATGAGAATCCGTCATGTCTTTGAATAAAAATAGTTTATTATTTCCAAAAACGGAACCCTGTTTTCTTCATTTCAAAACAATCACAATGAACTATTTTAACAAAAGATTCCTAATATATGCAAATTAATTATTTTTTCTTATTATATTGATTTAAGGCCAGTGTAAGATACCATTTAATAAATACAATTCACTTTGAAGGGTCAAGACCCATGTTTTCCTTTCCATACGACGCGAGCTTATTTTTCGTGCCCAAGGGGAGGTTAAAATGCCAAAATAGATAAGAGTTACACTGGTATTGTACCTGTAGCTTCTGCGTTGCTATGGTTATAAATTCGATAGTCATATCAAAATTTTCACGAATTCCACCAAAATGAACTGCATTAATGATTAGAATTTAATAAATTTCTATTCGTAAAGGAGACATACTGAAAGCAGCAAGTTCATCGACGCAAATTTTTGGTGATGGTGGGGGCGAACGATGAATAGATGGTTCCCAACTATTCTCTTTCTCCATATACGGTTTATTAAAACGGAAGTCATCTTGTGCCAGCTGTTTGTGCTTATAAAATGATTCCTGATCATGCTGCAGCTTCTTAATGCCTGGAAAAAAAAATTAGAAGCAAATTTAATTTACTTCATAGAAGTGAATACTAAAACAGTAAATTAGTAAATAAATGATAAGCTCAAGAAAGTGTGAGCTTCACGATTAAAGTTGTGAGAAACATTCGAAAGAATTATGTCAATAAGTATATGGTCAAATTCATCTAATGGTAACAAGATATCTACTTGATCTAAAACACAATCGTCTCCTTTTCAACACTATCAAAAGAATGAAATTATTAAGAAGTCCCATATAGTTCTGAACATGATGATGACAAATGGTGAATTATAAATAATTCGAGAAGTGATACCTTTCCAATAATGTTTCTAAGATATCTCCCAGAGAATGTGGATAATCTATTATGTATAGAGGACCGTAGTCAAGGTCATAATACTTGCCTTCTTCTCCACCTTTAAACAGTGGACTTTCCTCTATCACATTCACATTTTCACCACTTAGTTCCCCTCTTAACCCAGGTCCGAAAACTGAATCAACATATGCATTCTTTCGTGCACCAATTTCGTTTCCTTAATACAATTAACCATAAAAGAATATGTTATCCAGATTTAAAACAGTATAAAAATAAAATTAAAATTGACTTCTGAAAGCTATGGAACCGTTCTCAAAAAAATTGGGAGGAGAAACGATTAATATTGTAATATAACTTTTCGGAAGACCTCCAAAACCAACAACCTTTACAAAATAATATATAACCTTCTGTCACAATATTTGACTCCTCTGCTATAGTCGACAGCCTCGGTGGCAAATGATTTGTAATTGTTGCTTCATTTAATTTTTCTTGCTGCATGACTGCATGGTCTGAAATACATTATTATGGATTATTAGATTATTATTATGGATTATTATGGATTATTAGATTTTCATGGATTTGTTATGCCCACAAATATTGGAAGACGGCAAAAACAATAAAAACCTTGAAGTCTCCCTCTGTGGATATATTCTTGGGAAGTAGGCTTTTTAGAATACAATTATTGATTATGGACAATGACAACTATCGACAACGACACTACTTTACTTTAATGGCAATTAAACATAACAGTGATATAGCATACATTAATAATAAGTTGAGTTGTGAAATCATGCTACCAACTTATGTGATATTTACCACCTTGAAAAATTAATTTTATATACAACTGACCATCAATGTAGAGATCGTCTTCGTAAATGGATAATTTCTCGTCCATTTCCGAATCAACGTCATCGAAACGATCTTCTTGTATCTCCCATGAGGAAGAACTCATCACTTAGGAACTTCCACCTGATTGCTGTACTGTCAACAGCGGAAAATAACAGGGTAAGAAATAAGGCACTAAACTCCACAAGACGTTAGTGTCAACAATGAAAATAAATAGGACTTCTCACAAGATTTTGAATTTAAATTTATGCAACGAAATATGCAAATATTTGGGACATAAGGTGCTGGAAATGAAGAAACGTTTAACATTTAAGCCTGAAACACGGAGGCTTGTGGTGTATGTTTACTGTCTAATAATTATCATTATTAGGGAGGGTGATTAGAAAATGAATTAGATTTCTGTCTAAATAATTTGACTGTCAAAGATTTAATGCGCGCACGATGCCAAGATTTCATATCGTAACATACGACAATCTGTTGGATCAACTTTGATTGAGCGGAATTACCAGCGGCAAGTATCCGTAATTAAGCAAGTTATACCATAAACTACTCCACTATTAATAACACTATAATTACCACAGTACGAATTCATTAAAACGCTTATCAAATGAATAAGAAAAGACTTTGAAATATTTGAACTATTTTGATTCTCCCCAATAAATTCAGTTCAATATAAAGCTTACATTTACATGGAAGACTTCACACATACATAAACACACTTAACCTTACACCCATAAAAAACGCAAAAAATTTGGAACGCTTCACGAATTTGCGTGTCATCCTTGCGCAGGGGCCATGCTAATCTTCTCTGTATTGTTCCAATTTTAGTATATGTTCATCGAAATGAACACATCGTCATCATTCTCTCTTCTATACATGCAATACCAATTGATGTGCATTCAATTGAGAGTGAGATGAAGACAGCTGTTTTAGAAAATAACATTGGTTAACAAGAGAGGACAGTATGACAAAGACTTGTCTCTTTCTATTAAAGAATTATGCTAGCAGTATGTCAATTTTCAAAAGAAATGGCTGCGATTTCCAGATAATAACTACGTAAATCGCGGGATGTGTTGTGGATCTTACAGATTGTTTGACAAGATCATTAGCAGAGACTAAGCGTTACATCGTGAAATATCCGGTACATTTGGCAAATCGCTCCATGAAATGCTCCGTGGATTTGTGGTTTGGTCCATTGCATTTCGTCTCGTTTAGTTTCTCGGGTGAATGGTCCCGGGAGTTCTTGTTGGTTGCTTTTGACTGGGATGAGACTCCATGAAGCATTATATTTAGTTAGGTATTTATGAACATTTCTTCTGCATTTCGTTATCCATATTGGTGTATAAAGGAGACATCATTTTGCTTGTTTGTATTTGGGAAATACTCAATATAAGTACCGGTAATAATTACATTTGAGCAGTATTTTTTTCTGTATTGTGTTACCCTTGTAATACTGTTCTTCCGAAAGTTTGACTTCAGATATTTCTATATCAGATGCGCTTGAAAGTAGTGTATTTGTCGCGCTTGTGTAAACGAAGTTTCAGTTGTTCTCGGCTAGCACGAACAAACAAACAGTGGTGTGCACCACCGCAAACTTTTGAACTTGATGGTAAGTCTCACTTCAAACAACTAATTTTAAAGTTTTTTGTGACTTTGTAAGTTTGCTGAGCATTACAATTAGAAGATGTGTATGTGAATGGTAATAATGGTCAGATTTATTTGAAATAGAAAGTATATTGAGTCTTCAATCTTTTATTCGAGGAAGAAGATTAATGTATTGCGACTGTTTTTTTCAGGAATATCATTATCGCCCGATGAAAAATGGAATTTATCGCCAGCTGTATTACGAACATTGCAGAGACGTTTGCTTTTTGAAATTGACAATCCACTCTGTCTGCTCAAACAACGTATTGTCAATTTTATTTATGGAAAGTATCAAGTGAAAGGTGGAGTTGCATAGATTTCGGTCAATAATTATTTAAAGAAGCGATCGTTAAAAGAATGATTGATGCTGTAATAATAGGTCAAACCTATATTTTTATCAAGTTAACAAGCGTTCTTTATGCACTAAGCAAAAAGGGATAGGTGATTACTGGACAACTTAATCATTAATTGATTTTTTATCAGTGATGACAAAGTTTTAGGTGGAATGTCTCCGCAGTTTGCAGTGGTTGATAATCAGCCACGAATAGTTTCTATATTTGACAATTTTGATTCCTTGCTTGTACCTACAAATCATGTCAGTCGGAGTGTCCAGGATACTTATTACATCAACAAAGATTACTGCTTAAGGGCACATACATCGGCGCATCAGCATTCTCTGATCAGTCAAGGTTTATCTTAAATCTGTTTTCCGTTGTTAAGTATGCTTCTTTTAAATTTTCATCAGAAAAATAGAAAAATGCAAGTCTCCTTTATTTTAATCTTTTAAGTCTACACGCTTTATCCATGCCAAAATTTCTTGCCGGAATCACTTCAGCTATTTTATTAATTCCTTCCAAAATCCATCTATTTATTAAAGCTGAAATGCGGACCAGTGATTTTAAGATTTCAGGTCTAGATAACTTTCTTGTGATCGGTGATGTGTATCGACGTGATGCAATCGATAGCCTTCACTTCCCATGTTTTCATCAGATAGAAGGTGTGCGCTTGTTTACTGCTGCTGAGCTGTTTGACGATTCATTAAGTCGACATCCGGTAAAACTTCATATGTTGTCTGTATTCTAGAATTCGTCTAAAATTCGTCCTCAGATCTTTTCATTTGATTGTGCGTAAAAAACTGCCTGTCTCAATTAAAGTATTACTACATGAGAAAAATAGATATATTAGTGTACAGAATTTCAGAAACCACTTTTTACGAACGATAGAAGAACTGCAAAGAAACAGGGACAGCATACGAATAATGTTGCAGAATGTTTAATCAAGGATTTAAAGGTTTCAGTGTTAATTAAAATCACAAAGAAAATGTTTGGCATTTTCTTTTGTCTAATGAACTTTAATTTTATCGTGAAGCCATTAGTGGCGCATCATACTTTCTTTATTTTTTCGTGCATTTTAAGGCAACTTTGGAGACTCTCTGCCATCACATATTTGGCACTGAATATGACATGAGATGGGTTAATGCAGATTTCCCATTCACATATCCATCATTTGAACTTGAAGTTTATTATGAAGACAAATGGATAGAAATTCTTGGTTGTGGTATTATGGAGCAAGATCTTTTGAAAATGGCTGGCATTATGGATAAAGTTGGTTGGGCATTTGGTTTGGGCCTTGAAAGACTTGCTATGGTAAGACTCACTGATTTTAATGTACGACATGCAGTTCATTTTTTCGAAATGATTTGTCATTGTTCTGCTTTTGGTTTTTGGCAGAATGCATTTGGTTACTTCTTAATCTTTTTCTAGAAAGAGAGATAAAAAGATATATATTTTTGCCTGGTTGGCTAATTTCGTCCTTTGCAGGCTGTATACGGGATTTCGGATATTCGGTTATTTTGGAGCCGTGATTCAGGATTTTTGACACAATTTGCTGGAAAATCTCCCAGTGAAAATTTCAAATATGTACCTGTTAGTATTCATCCGCCAGTACTGTATGATCTATCATTTTGGCTTCCGGCGGGTGTTGATCCCGAAGAGATGGCTGCTGAAACTTGCGATTTGATACGTTCCATAGGTGATCAACTTATTGAACAGGTAAGTCTATATAAGCGTTGTCTGGTAAATATTTCTTAGAAAAAACTCATAGCTTGATTTTTGGTGACTTATTAGCCTTTATTTGACCATTCATGACTACATCTTTTTCCCCACGTAGAAGTTTGTACTTCCAAATGAAAGTTCTATTCGCTATAGGTCAAAATAATTGATACATTCGAGCACCCAGAAACAAAGAGAACTAGTCAGACCTATCGTTTGATATACCGAAGCCATGAAGAAGCTTTGAAGAAAGAGGAGGTGAACCAAGTTCATTTTAAAATCAGACAAAAAATTGTTGAAAATTATGGCGTTGTATTGCGGTGATGATTTTATCTTTGTTCTCAAATCTTTCAGGGAAATGTATTGTGTTATCGCACTGCAAATGAAATGAAATGCAGTACACATTTCAATCTTTGTAATGCGATTAATACTGTAACATACGAGCTGTTTTGTTTTGGATTAACTTTCAATTGGGATGATTCAGTAGATTTTGAAATAAATTAAATGCGACAAAATTTTAGCGTGAAAAATCGAAAACATTGGAAAGCGTCACATTTGGATGTGATAGTATATACGAAGGGATATTTAGGCTATTTTAGACATATTTCTTCATTAAGTAAGTGTGATATTGCATTAACTGCCACAGATATACATCTGGATATAAAGATACTTTCTGTTATTGCTTTTTCGTTTTTGATATTTATGCTGTGTGAAGCGAATGTTAGTTATTATCTCTTAAAATTAATAAAAGTCTCGTTGCGGACTGATGTTTGTATACATATTTGCATACAGTGCTGAAATGCGCAGTCAGAATTATCGTTTGTTAATTTTGCGAAATTATACGGTCGTGATTTGATCATTATTTTAGAGGGCTGTCATGAATGTAAAGTCGATTTTTGAGTACTGAACTCAATTTTTCCAGTTCAGGATGTACGGGTTTTTTGAGATTATCATTATTAAAAAATTTGTAGGTAATAGATATGTTGGTAATTAGTAATCTTTACTGTCTCGAAAGGGAAAGCGAGCTGTCTTGTTTGTAATTAATTATATGATTTTTCACGTAAGTTTCAGTTTGTCTTAGTTCCCATAAGGTGAATAACTTGTTTATAACAGTATATTTTCATTTCCTACCATCATTTTTTGCCTTTTTATTAGATAATAATGAAATGGTGATGATTTATCCACGAAATATTTGCTTATGCTTGCGAAAGTATTCATATTGTTCTAGTAAACATGCCTCAGTTCAGGACAGCAAAAGGTTACTGAACCATATTTATTTAGATTCGATTGGTTCGTTGTTACTAGGTATAGTAATTATAGCTGTATAAATGAACTGGCTTATATAAGTATCCGTTTCTCATTACTTATTGCTAGTTCACAGTTTCTGATTTGACTAGAAATAACCATTTTAAAACATTCTTTTTCAAAAAATTAGAATTACAAAAAAAATGGTTTAATATAGAAGTACTTCCTTCGACATAGATGCTGTGATAAAGAGCCATGAAAAATGGATAGAACGTGCTGCGACAATGCAAGCAAACGAATCAGATCCCAAAATTTATCGGTAAGATTAATACTGTTTTCGTCAAATCTGTTAATATTCTGGGTTTTACAATTTAACGAATGAGATTTTACTAATTTAAAATGTTTTTCTTTTCCTTATAATTTAAGGATGATTCTACCTCCTCCAAATGTTACCGGCAATCTTCACCTTGGCCATGCTTTAACGGTAACTGTTGAAGATGCCATGTGTCGATATCGACGTCTCCAGGGAAAACAAGTATGTGATATGTAGCTGAGTTGTGAACTGATTAGGTTGTGTTCAACTGAAATGAATATTTGTTCAAAACTATTCCGATTTTATAGAAATAGACAAATAACTTTGTCTATGATTCCTGTCACTGCATAATTTTCAGGTAATATGGTACCCTGGATTTGATCATGCAGGAATCGCTACGCAGGTAGTTGTTGAACGAAAGCTGTGGAATGAGAAAAAACTGCGAAGGCATCAGGTCACACAACATGATTTCCTGGAATTATGTCGACGATGGAAAAACGAGTGAAGTTTTTTTAAACAGTTGTTTTGTTGGTGTAAATTGTAAGTAATTCGTAAAATGAAGTTTAGTTTATCAAAGTTTATATTCTTAATAGAAATTTGACCATGATTTTATGTTTTAGGCGTGTGGCCGATATGTCAAAGCAATTGAAAGCTCTTGGTGCAATACTTGATTGGCGTAATATGTACTACACATTAGATGATGTGAATGGATTTTTTGCCTTTTATTTTGATTTAGTAAATATGTTTGCGGCATTCGTGTTATCTTTTTTGTTTTAGTGTGATTGGTTTCAAGTAGACATTAGAGTAGGCAGAAAATATTTATTCGAAAACAACGACTGCAAGTTTAGAATAAAACACTAATAAAAGATCATTAGGTTATTTAGATATGAAAGATTGACTGAAATGTTATTTTTGAAAGTATCATGTATTTATTTTGATCTATAGCTCTTAAATTTAGTAATCTTTTTGAATATGTATAAATTTTGGAGCTATTTTTTTTGATATTTTCTCATTTTTAGAGATTTTCTGAAGCAGTTACGGTTGCATTTTGTCAGTTATACAATGATAGTTTAATATTCAATGATTTAAGAATGGTCAACTGGTGTCCGACTTTAAGGAGCACTATTTCCGATCAGGTACACTTCTGCATTACTTCACAACTGATCTGCATTCAGTGCAATTTGTGTATGTCACCATACAGAAAAATGTATATATAAATATTTTTAGGAGGTTGATATTGTAAATGTTGGAAAGAATGATTATTTTTTGTTGAATAAATCTGGTTTGAAAAGGAAACATGTCAAAGTAGGTGTTATGCATCGAATTCGTTATGAACTTTTGGATGAAAACAGGTCGGATTTCATTCCATATTTCAATAGTTTATTGCTTTTATCCTTATAATTATTACTTTTCAGACGAATTCGTAGAATAAAATAAATTCTGAAACATAACTTATATTGGCAAAATAATTATGTAAGTATTTTCAGCTCATCTGGAAGTAATTACTTAGAAGTAGGAACAACAAGACCAGAAACGCTGTTTGCTGACTGTGCCTTAGCTGTCAATCCAAATGATGAACGCTATGTGAAATATATTGGCTTGCGTGTTCGACATCCTTTGCTTCCCAATCGTACATTACCTATTTTAGCTGATGCAACAGTACAAGCTGAGAAGGGTACAGGTGGTGATTTTGAGATATTGTGTTCCGTACTTAAATTCGTAAAATGTAACTCGAGTTTATTAGTAAGAGTTATCGAAAGATTATTATTTAGTTTATGTTTCCGTACTTAAATTCGTAAAATGTAACTCGAGTTTATTAGTAAGAGAGTTATCGAAAGATTATTATTTAGTTTATGTCTATAAATATATTGATTAAATTTACAAATTTGTTAGTCATACCGTTGGTTCCTTCAGAAATTTTTGTTGACTTGGTTTTGTTGTATTTATCGAGGAGTTCTTTTCCTTTTTTTTTCAGGTGTTTTAAAAATAACACCGGCCCACAATTTTACTGATTTTGCTATTGCTAGGAGTCATGCAAATCAGCTATCTAAGGAAGATTTCAATCGATCTTGTATCGATGAATCTGGTTGTCTCATAAATGCAGGCGATTTTAATGGAATGGATCGATTTGAAGCTAGGAATAAAGTAATTCTGATTTGTGTGGAATACCTCCGGATTTTTGAAAAACATGAGTGATATCGAAATTCAAATTTAGGTTGTATCAAAATTGATTGCACGTGATAAATATGGTGGGACGATGCCTTACTATGAACAACAACTAAGGGTATGTAGTCGAACTGGTGATATTATCGAACCAATGGCTAAGAAACAGTGGTTCATGGATTGCGCTAGTATGAATGATAAAGCTCTTAGATCTATTGAACAGGGTTTGGTATGTCATTTATTCACAGTTTATTTGTACAATTTTGATTGACTTTGCTGTAACTCCGAAGTTTTGATGCTTGATAAATCTGAAAGTATTGACTTTACAATTTCCTCTGCCTTCTGAGATGAATTCTTTTTCGTTTCATCTATTGCAGCTTACTGTAACTCCGAAATACATGCTGACACATCTGGAAAATTGGTTGAATAAAAAAGAACCGTGGTGTCTGAGTAGACAGCTTGATTGGGGTCAGCGAATACCGGCATTTCGTTTCGATTCCAATAGGTTTGATTTGAATTTGAAATATGCACCAAATTGTTGTGCGAAGCGGCAACATTTCCATAAGTTTCTCAAGAAAGTCATTCTTTTAGCGATTGGATTGTGGCTCCAAATAAGATTGAAGCGTTGCGTATCTGTGATAAAAAAAACACTGGAATGAATTTGGAACAAGACAAAGATGTCTTGGATACATGGTTTTGTTCGTCACTTATCCCTATCATTTTGTTTGGTAAATATTTAGTTGATTTCATAGTTGTGAAATTTCTCACAGATTGGGGATCACATACTTATCAGAGGTTTCTAAATTTTAGAGAAAAGAAGGCATCATGCATTTACAGGTTGGCCAAAAAACGAATTGATCATATTCCATTATCTGTGCTGGAAACTGGATACGACATTGTTGGGTTTTGGGTTGCGCGAATGGTTACAGTTTNTCANAGGTTTTTTTTTTTTTTTTTTTTTTTTTAAAGAAAAAACACTGCAATATTATTCTATAATTTTTTTTTTGAAAAGAAATCTCTACTTTGTTTTATAAATCGCACACCAATATGAATAAAAGATTTTCATGTTTTCACAGATGTTTCACAGATATCACCGAAATGAATTTTTAGTTTAACGGGTTATTTGCCTTTTCCAAAAGTGGTATTGCATGGCTTAGTTCGTGATGAGAATGGAAAAAAGATGAGTAAATCGTTGGGAAATGTAATCGATCCAACGGATATTGTTGATGGTATTTCAATTCAGAAAATGTTGGATCGTCTTGACAAAAGTATTCTTTCGGAGACGGAAAAAAGTGAGCTCGCTTCATAAGAGCTGTAAGATAATCTGTTACTTATACTTTTATGTTATAATTGTTACTTCTACTAATGATGACGACTCTACAAATAGCGAAAACTACGTTTACTAATGTCAGGTAATTTCGGAAAAATTTAGAAACGGCAGCAAATTCGCTGAAATCTCGATTTCCTGAAGGCATTCCCCGATGTGGTCCGGATGCTTTGCGTTTTGCTTTACTCCGTCATGATCTTGGTGCTATGGATATCAATATCGATGTTGTACAAACCGCTGAAGAAGGTTTAAAGTGAGAAAACAACTTCATTTTACCACATATCTAATATAAATTAAAAATTTCACTTAAACACTAGAAAATTTAGATTTTGCAATAAGCTATGGAATCTTTGTATCTATGCTGAAGAGATATGGCGAAATTGTTACGAAGTTTCGGACCAAGCCTGCAGCAATCGTATTGAAGTTAGTTACCCTCTTATTTAATTTTCACATCTAACATCTGTAGTGATATTCAAAATTCTTCGCTATAGCAGAAGATGGAAGAAGTCAGTATAAAACATACGATTTAATTTACTGTTAGGATTTTTAAGCCGAGAGAATGATCCTTATCATGCAAAATTAATTCCACTACGAAATTTTTTTAATCAGTCAATGATTGTAAAGGTTATACCATTTCCCAGAATATTTCTTTTCAGGATTGCTGGATAAGAAGCCGTTTGGAAAGTTCTTTAATGATAATGGCAATAAAAATGGATTCAGATTGTCCTCATTTAGCGCTCAATGCACTACACAAATTTCTTTACAATGATTTATGTGATGTTTACATCGTGAGTTTCTTATTTTTGCTGAGATAGATTTATGTTAAATCTGAGTTCCAGAAAACCCGGCAAACATTTCTTACAGTCCTTGTTCGATTCTCCGAAGTTCTAAACGCACAGAAAACTAATAATTTCCGCCTTAGTCTTCGTTTTGAAGAAGTAAGCTTTAATTGAAACAAATAGCAGATCTTTCTGTCAGCAGCATTGTTCAGGAGACAACAAAGAAAGCATTATGGTTGAAAGACTACCCGAGACTGAAGGTAGTTGCTGAAGTTTTGCATGATGTTATCGAAAAATCGTTGTTTCATCTTTCGATTTTCATGCCCTTTGTGAGCCAGTATCTTTTTGATCGCATTAAACGAGGAAAAGAAAACAGTTCTTTTGTTGCTAGCCCAAAGATGGTAATTTTACTTGCTTTTGTCTCATTTTCATCTTGAAGTCTTTTGTTTTCAGTTCTTCCAAACAGCTATTTCATAATTTTTAACCTAATGTATTAGAATACTTCAATTTTCAGGATTTGAAATCTTGTCGAATCGATAAAAAACTTGAAAACGATATGTCTTTTGTTTTGGAGGTAGTTAAAGCTATAAGGTCTATCCGAGCACAATTTCGAATTTCTGTAAAAAATACTTTACAAGGTATGATTTTCAAAAAAATTGTATTTCGCTTCATGGTTATTTCCCTGTGTTGTTCAGTCCTTTGGGGGCTTCCCAGTATTGATATTGACAAGTTGTTTGTCTTTTTTTTCTCAGATATAAACTTTCGTGTTTCATTTATTTTTAGTAGCTTGCTACGGAGGGAACTGCGACCTGAAAAATTTCCAGTCTCTTATTCAAGAACTTTGCAACGTCACACTCTCGTCGGCAGTTGCAGAAGAAAACAGTAATTGCAGTCTGCCTTTTCCTGTGCATGGTTATTCAGCTGTAGTCCATGTTACTATTGTGGTGCGTGAAGTAGAGCTCCTGAAAGATTACGAAATAAATCGAATTCTGATTCTTCTCTTTAATGTTACACTCTTTGATTAAAGAAGGTTATAAAAAAATTTAGCATTAATTTCTTCACTTTCATTTTGCAGGGTGATTATGGTTTTTTGGTCAAGGAAGAATTATTGAGGCGATTGCAGAAGGCAGAAAAAAGGAAAGGGCAATTTTTATATCAAATTGGCAAGCACGAGAGATTAGCCAGAAATGCATCCAGAGATGATTTAATGGAAAGATACCAGCGGAAAATTTCTCGGGTAATCCATGAAAGCAAAATATACGTAATGTAAATCCTAAAGGTTTGCAAAATCTTGCACCTTTCCCGGTTTTTCAGACCTTTAGGATTTGCATTACTTTTTTTTCTGTTTAACATATCACAGAGTTTTGCTCTTTGTGTTTTTGTTTTTTTATCGATGACGTATAATGATTTATTTCAGGAGCATTGGAATTCACTTCCCCTCCTTATGTCTTTCAGCAATTTCATTTGTAGTTAGCCTACTAACAACTGATAATCTCATCTGGCCTTTCATGAATTAGATTGCCTGCTTTGTAGAGGTTCTCATCACATAATCTTTTTGCTATCATAATTTTATTCATAATTTATTAATTCTCTTTATTATAGGCATAATTTTATTCCTTCATTATTCATTACAGGCAAATGCAGTGGTGAATGGTATGACCGAGGAAATCTCAAAATTAGGAGCTTTAATCAAGAAATTAGAAACATTGTGATTAAACATCACTGTTTGAAATAGTAATATTTATATAAGGGAAAATGTACTGGGCCATTAATCTTTCTTTGCTTATCCAATAAGTTATAAATTTCTTAAATCGTTCTTGTTCATTATCAATTGTTTCAAATTTATTCTGCTCAGTCTTCTGTACTGTATGTTTTAAATAGAGGAATGGGGATCGATTGCATTTTTTCTTTAATATTTTTTTTATTTTTACTTTATTGCATACAATTGTAACTTTGAACTAAACGACTTTGATTACGTTTTCGATTTTTTTGATCTTCATGATCCTAAGTTGCTACTTGGCTGGTCAGTCAATTAAATTATTATTGGTTACAATTCCTGAAAAAGATTTAAATGGAATCAATTGTAGTCTTATTTCCATAACTGTGTTGATTTGTTTATACCACTTAGTTTAAAATTAGTAAAAAACTCATAAGTAATTTCACTTTATGTCTTCATGCATTAACATTGCATTGTCTTCCGGCACCCCTACTTTGCTTGAATTTGAATTTTCCCTTTTAAATTTGAATGTTTTGGGATATAAAGATTTGCTTAAGACTTTGGTCTTCGGTTGCAAGCGATGGGCGGAAGCAAACGACTTTCAGAATGGCTTCTGATAGGAGTATGTGTGCTGCATATAATAATGGCACCCTATACAAAAGTTGAAGAGAGCTTCAATGTACAAGCTATTCATGACATCTTGTATCATCGGTTGAATTTTACCGAGGTAAAATATTGCGACCTTTTTTGAACAAGAGATCTTTGTACTTATAATTTGTATGAGGCATATGAGTTACCAGTCATATGTTTCTTTTTAAATGATTTTTAATGATGCCACTGTTTTTTTTTAATGATAGTTCAGTTGTGCAGTAAAGCTTTGTTTATATTAAATCTTATGTGGATGCATTTCAACACAAGGAAGTTTTCCTTTACATCACTAGCAATAAGCGAGTTGTTCATTTGATAATCATCACTAAGATAACTGCTGCTGTAAGAACATCAGTTATGATTACTTCACCGAAGTAGTAACTTTTTCAAATTCCGAGTCACCAGTGTCATGTTATATTAAAGAGATTTGTGGCAATTTTGAAAAATGTAGGTCCTTTGTGAGATTTTACTTGTCTGGATTTCTGGATTTTAATTTCAGTATGACCATCACGAATTTCCGGGAGTGGTACCACGTACTTTCATGGGTGCTATAGCAGTTTGTGCTCCACTTTTTCCTGCAGTCAGTTATTTCAGATGGAGTAATACTGCAAAGCGTTGGATTTTGTACGGCAGTTCGTTTCATGCTTTATTGATATTAGTAATGTTTCGCTTTATTTAATAGATTGTGATATATATAATTGATGATTTACTGTTCATCGTCTTGAAATTTTGTAAAATATCTCTAAAAAAACAGTACTGTTTTTCAAAAAGAGCATATTCTAGTGAGACTTATGCTTGGTCTAACAGTTATATTCGCATTTGGTCATTTTGCTAAAGAAATAGACAAGAAGTTTGGCAAATTGTCAGGGGATTTTCTGAGGTACTTTTCTTTTGTCACACAGATTATACTTTTAGAATTCAAATTTTGATTTAGTAGGAAACTTATTGGCTACTTCAGTTCATAAATCTGGTACAAATAGTATGAACTGCGATTTGATGGAATGTAACATAGTTTGAGATGAACGCATCATTGTTGTTTACTCCCTCAGATATTCGAAAACGGAAAACAACTTTCAAAAATGAAATCAGTTCTGGCAAATATATAGCTAGTTTAGAAGTTTCAATTTTTCTTGAATCGGAGGAAGAATTTCAGATTAACAATAGCGACGCAATTCCATTTCATGTTCTATTGTTCCAGGCCTCTTCCAAATACGTTTGCCTTACTTGGGGGTACGAGTTTTTCTGTCCTTCCTTCGACTTCCTTTTGATTTTCATGCTTAATCAGAATATTTAAATCTAATCAAAAATTATCAAAATTGCTTTATTCCTGTTTTTCTCCATTTGACTTCGTTTTTATGATTTACAAACTATAGTACTTTGGAGCTACCAGAAAATTCTGGAGGGACACTGGTTATGTGCAGCACGAATTGCTGCAGTTTTCACACTACTATTTCGATGTGAACTGATTCTGCTTTATGGATGCATTTTTATATGGCCTGTTTTAACACGCCAACTACCTCTGTTTGGCTGGAATGGTGCAGTTGTTCATTGCTTGTCTACTGCTTTGCTCGCTCTAGGTTAGTCACTTATATATTTTGTTTATACCTTTTTTTTAAATTCAAATTCTAAAATATATTTGAATTACTCGTTTAAATGTGGTTTACAGTTTTGTCCACTGAAATATTTTGATTTGGTTTAATACAATAAGGTTAAGTTTTTGCTAAGCTGTCCTGAATGCTTACGCAGAATACAAATTATTTAGGTGTGTCCGTGCCAATAGATTCTTTCTTGTGGCGACGATGGGTATGGCCTGAAGGTGAAGTATGGTGGTTTAATGTAGTATTAAACAGAAGCCACGAATATGGCGTAATTTTTAAATTTTCTTGGTTTTTTTTTTAATTTCTTGGTTTATAGTCAGTAGACTGAAATCTAAAATAAATAAAGACTTGGAAATCAGAAGTGAGCAACTGTTCAGAAGTTGCCTTCTTTGATGGGAATTCAGCAATCTTTTGTTCTTTGCAGATTCTACCTTACTTTTGGTATTTTTACTCCGCGATTCCACGGACAATGATAGCTTCAACTCCTCTTGTACTTCTAGGCGCATTAATTGGTATGTAATCTGATTTTTTTGCATTCCTTCTTGTTTTGCATCAAAAACTGGAATCCATAAAAAAATCTTCCCTAACCATGTTAGTTTCCTGAATCTACAAATCTTCCCAACCATGTTAGCACTTTATTATTCAAAATTCGTCGTTAAATTCGCCGAAGAACATGAAGTATTTTGTTATCATGCGTATGATATTTATACATATATGAACTCACTATCAAAACGAATAGGTTTTTTGCTCTCAGATCGTCGCTTACTGTCAATTCTGATGCCTGTTATATGCTACATCTTCGTGTATTCGTTCCTTCCCCATAAGGAACTTCGATTTATCATTTACACACTACCGGTTTTGAATGTTTCATCAGCAGTGTTCTGTGCAAGAATGTAAGTCATTTAATTTCTGAATTGCAAAGAAAATTTTAGTTTTTCTTCTTTTCAGTTGTTACGAAATATCATTGTGGCTAGGCTTTGGAAACGAAGATTCGGGAAGGGATCTACTAGGTTTGTTGTAAATGTTAAAAATGTGAGTGTATCCTTCGAGCTTGTGCAATGGATTTTTTAGATGAAGGTGTAGGGTGTGCAGAACTGACCCACCCTTCACTGCCAAGGTTCATTTGCGGAGTCTAGCGGCTAGAACGGTGACAACGAAGTCCTAAGGACGTAGGTTTTATCAGTGTATCCTTCTCTTGAGTGGATATCTTTACAGGGCCAAATGGGCTTCATCTACCTGGGTTTGGAGTAGAGTTTTCCTTCTTCTAGGATGGTTGCCGATAGGGTAGCGAGTTCATTCTATCCGTGGATATACTTTGTTTGACCCTTCAGTTGAGACTCATCTAGCAGGGAGATTTTACTGAAGGCATATGCCACCACCAGCAGAGCTCGCATCTCATATGGGCGCGCAAGCTCCTCTCCACGACAAGGCGGTGTCCGTAGCGAAGTTTTTCAAAATATAAATAATTATAAAAAAATAACTATAAAAGAATAATGAAAGAAATTTTCAATCATTTCATTTGGAAAACATAAGCTTTTTTATGGTAAAATAGAGGATGTTAATCACAGTCGCACTGATTTTCAATAAATTTTATTATTGGTATGTATTTTGTTTTTATTTGGATCAATCGTTGGAAGTCGATGTTTGGAATGCTAATGGCCTTTGGAGTAATACTACATTTGATCGCAAATGTTATCGGCACTTCCATCTTCCTGCTTGCGAGTTCTAGAAATTATCCTGGCGGTGAAGCACTCACTTCTCTTCAGGTACTTTCTCCTAGAATACCTTAGGCCGTAGTTTTTTTACATTGATTTCCGTGAATCCTTTGTTTCAAATTAATTCACAGTCATTTTAAAATATTGTTCTTCACCCAGCGATAGCCGATATCAGCTGTTGCTGAATAATACAAATTGATAGAACCTCATGCACCATTTCAGTATAAAAGCTTTGCGGTTGGAAAATTAACAAAGAAATGGTCAGTGAAAAAATATCACCGTATAAGTCGAAGAAAGTTCTATAGAAAATTGTTTTCAAAAAGTCTTGTTTCGTGGGAAAATCTTTTCAACATTTTTTTTTTCAGTATTTGCGACATTTTAATCGAAACAAACCAGTCTCCGTCTATATTGATAATTATGCCGCTCAGACTGGCGTCAGTCGATTCTTGCAGTGGTATGATGCTTGGGAGTAAGTAATTAAAAAAGAATTATGTTGACCTTGCTAGCACCAAAGTGAAGCGAGGCATGTGTATTAGGGAAGTGGATTATAAGCGGAAAAGAACTAATCTAAGATACAAAGCTTAAGACAACTATTATGAGCCTTTATATTATATGAAAAGCAATGCATTTAAATTGAGGTGATTTTAAAAAATTCTCTTCTTTCCCACTGAAACGGTCTCTGTATTTGTTTTCAAATAATATGTTTCAAGTAATTGTGACAGTGAAGATGCATAGGTTTTTGTGAAATTTTTTTTTGCAGTCGGGATCAAAATCTTTTCTGATCACAAATTATTTTCTTGAATATATAGGTATAATAAAACGGAAAATCTGGGACCATCGCAACTTAAACGATTCGACTATTTGTTGATTGGTTCATACACAGAACTTGATATCGTCAACTTTACCGCACGAAAGTTCTTCGCCACTCATCGTGTTTTATATAACGTTGAAGCATTCCAGTGACTTTTTTCTGCTATCTATATTAATTTGTTCTTAAGATTCTGACCATCCAAAATTTGAAGTTCTGATAATAAATCTGTTAATTCATTACCTATTATTTCATTTGCAACTGAAATTTTCATGTTTACTCCAAATGAAAAGCGTATCAATAATTTCCGGCAGCATGTGCAGGACTCTGAAAATATTTTTTTAATGCTTTAAAGAGGTTTTTATTATATAATGCTACTTTCTTTTCAGAGGAATTGAATTAAGAAGGATGCGATGGTTCCCGTACTACTGGCCTATCATAAAATTCAATGCACAGTTAGTAGTATTGGAAAAATTGTATTACTCTGACCCCGTTTGAACTGTTCCAAGTTTTAATGTTATTTCTTAAATGATGCTCGAATTTTTATGAATGAATATTTTTAAAAAGTTGGGTTACTTTGTTTATGTGTTGTGCACACTTCTGATATAGCTTTTAATAGGTCTCTCTTTTTTCTGTTTTAACAGTTACCACAGCACTTATTATTGTGGTTTACATGTGGTTTTTTATGCATAAGAAGCCAAATTCAAAATGGACCAAAAGTAGAAAAGGCATGGAAGAGAAGACGGGATAAAATAGATCTCGAGACTTATCAACGTTTCAGAATTTAACATTCTATTAAAAGTTTAAAGAAATTCTTCTTTTAGCACTTCATATTTGTTGGATTGCTACTTTTTAAACTATTGCATCTCTGTTCAGGTTATTTACTTCACTGCAAGCCATAATTTTAAATCAAAATCACAAGATTCATTTGCTGCTCAACATAAAATATCTTTTATCGCCTGAATTTAATTGCAATGGAAAGAAGTTAATGGTTTTGAAACATCAGCTACACATTCTCTATTTATTATTCTTTTTCTGACCAAAAAAAAGTTTTTTCTTAAGCAAATAGGCTTAAAACTGGTTGGTATAAATAATGTCCTTTTCTGCTTTGGAGTTCTGTTGAGTGAAAGCGGTAGTTATCAGTTTGAATTTAAGGGCTTCAAATATTTTGGCTCTAGTAAGATACTTTATTAAAACATACGAAATGAAGTTAGAATAGAGCAGGAGAGTTTGATGGTACGGAAGGATAAAACGAATAAATCTCTTCTACAATCTATCGCAGGTCAAGAAAACTAACAATCGATCCCTTCGTCTATCATCTAACATTTGAAATCCTGAACACAATTTCCAATTGCACGGTAATCTGTTTGCAGTTCTAAAACATTTGGTGGAAAGCGTGCTGAAAACATTAAATACGTTTTATTTCCTCAAACTGTGTCATTTTTCAATGATTTTACTTTTTAACAGCACCTGATAACAACTGACAATGCACGACAACGATTGAAATTTTTTGATGTAGTTCATTAATTTCAGTCGGTTATGGATGGTCATTGATACTTGTTACGTGAGATTGTATTACGTGGACACTAACTTTGCTCCATGTGAGCAAACAGAAGAACCATTGTTGAATTTTCCTCACCAATTTCGATTCTTATGAATGGTTGTTCTTTTAAGTAATCATGTAATTCATTGATATCATGTGATTCATTTAGACATATAATCACATTTGTCTGATATTAGCACTCACATTTAAAATGAGTTTTTTATTTTGTACATTAAACACATCCTACTTTTTCATAGTCCATGGTAAGCAACCAATTTTAAATTTCAAGATTCCCGTTGCAGGAATTGTTGAATTCTGAACAGAAGACATGTATGTAGGCAATTAATGAGTGATGCTAACTGTTCCATGCAGGTAGCGTTTAGTTAAGAAGATGAAAGGTCACTCTGATCTTCAAATACATACATCATCGGAACATGGTCGTAATATTTCATTACTGATAAGCGGATGAAGTCAAAAACTGATAATTCATTTTACTTTCCGCCGCTTTTTTGACTTTTTTGGTAATTCTGAAATTAACGAAAACACAATGACAAATCGCTAGAAAATATGATGCATTAAATGTGTTTGAGAAATTAAACGAAATATTTAAAAGCGGTCAGATGTTTAAACATGTCTTTTTGCATCCGACAAAGTGATAAACTAAACAATGTGCATTAAATATTTTGAAAGCTTGAAGCCATGCACTTAATTCTAATTCAAAAGCTTAAAGACCTATGTTTATGCATTCATCACAAATGCATACTTTTAATTCCATCCTTGCTTTCAATCTAATTTCACCCAATAACTATTGACGATTTGGTTGTCATCCGAATGCGTATCAAATATAATGGTGACAAGTCTTGCAAACTATTTAAGGTGCTATTAACAATTATTAGTATTGTCCTCTTTCTATTAATCTCGCTGTTTGCATCCAATTATAAGATTAAGCTTTTTCCTTTAGATGTGTTTTATAGCTAATAATTTGAAAAAGAAAATAGAAGTGATTCAGGCAAGAAAATATTTCGAGTTAAACAAAAAATATGTAAAGTAACTTGTTTGTAAAGTTTCTAGAACAAACTGGTCACTACCAGACTAAAAATATCATTAATTAGAAGATTAAAAATACTGAGGAAAATCCGTGGCTGTCCTTATCTCAAACAAGCAAGATCCCGTCATTTCCAGTTATTGCGAGAGATGCCACAAACCTCGAAAATGGAGGTAATGGGACGACGGAAAGAGGAGGAATTTACACTCATTCTTCATTGTCCACAAGTAAATACTTCATATCGCATCAGTTCTTATTTACAGTCAAATAACTTTCTCCCGTTTATTTACATTTCAACTTGTCCGTAACGGTCATTAGCCTAAGAATAATCATACAAACGGTCAACTGATCATCATTGACCTGAATTGTAACCCCAATGTCTCTCTTTCTCATCACTATTCTATTTTGGTTTTAACCAGTTTAAATTCATTATCTCAAACGAAAGTAGTGTTGCTTTCACTGTTGTTACACCCATGACAAATGATGTTCTGACTTTCACAACACTTTTCAATCTCAAACACAGTATATGGCCTGGTCGAAGGCTAAAAGAAATGTTTTTTAAAGTATACCTCTGGGAATTGAAAGTCTTGAAAAGCAAAGAATGCTGATGATTGGGACAAATAATCCAATCAGGTCATCTGTCGCCCAGCAATCATTTCGCTCGAGAAGGAATGTGGGGGGAATTGGATGAAACTGATCTCCAAAGTATGCCAATCATAAACTGATAATGTTTATCACTAAAGAACTACCGCTGTGGGCTTGTTGTCTTCGTAAATATTAATAATAATAATATCAACTGGAAGGGAAATTTGTATCCCCAGAGTCAGTCTCCCTCTTTTATCGCCATATTTCTGTTTCATTCATATTGTTTGGAGCGCAAATATTTTATCCGTTTGTATTGTCCATTTCTTTCCAAAACTTCCATTTTGATTACTTAAGTCTTGGTTATAAATTTTAATTTTAGCTTCCAATTTAATTAATATTTACACACTTTTGATTGTGTAATTGCTAAATTGGTTGCAAATGCGATGATGAAATGAACTATTAAGTGTGTTATCAACTCATTAACTCACCCAATCGTTTAATGCTTAATCATCAGTTCGAACCTATTGTCCCTAAAGCTATTCCTGCGTTGCACAACTTTTGGCGCTAATTGCGCCTCATTGTGTTTCAACAAAGAGAAATGGATTGAACCGTCCATTTCAACTTTCTGTACTTCTGCGCTTCAGTCGTCACTAATTAAGTCCGTGGCACGTTAGTTTGGGCCTCGTGGAGAACAGTAAATTTCTTCCGAAATTTTTTTTTTACAAATTAACCTATTTTTGCACTGAGCTTAAAATTGTTATAATGTTATTCAGATTTGAGATAGTTTGATCTTTTTTTCTTTTTTGATAGATTGATTATCCGGAAGCAGTGGATTGTTGGAATTTACACCGATCAACATGTGAGATCAATTCGGTTATCATTTCGTTGCTTATCATTTTCTTCTTTACTTAAATTGTTGATATTGTAATAAAATGTGCCTTTCGCAATTTTGTATCATAAAATGTAAACTAATGTAATCCAAAAACTATCAGTCATTTGTCAATTTCTAGAATCTTTTGATTTCAAATCTATGGCTGTAATTTAAAAATTGCACTAGCCAACTGTCAATTAGGCCAGTCTTGAAGGATAAGTAGGAGAGAACCATTAGGCTAGAATGCTATATTAAGGTGAAAAATAGTTACAGAAGCACCTCATTATTTAAGTGCAAAGAGAAGTGTCGTAAAGTGTATTGACTCGAAATTAGTAAAAGATTGGAAAACAAGAAGTGGGCAGAATAACTATTAGCAAAAAAAAAAAAAATTGACCCTGGATTTCACAAGTTGCTCCTAAGCACTGAGTAGAAAAACGAACGAGGCACTTATCCTCAAAGAACATTTTAGTACTTGTCACATATCATTTGGTGTTTACTGGATATGTTTTCGAGAAAAAAGAATGATTACTTTCCGGAGAGCTTGGGCCGGAAGTTTTAAGCATTAAAAATTTCACGAATGGAATTTCTGGAAGCTAACTGGGAAATTACTGCTTAAAATTCATTACTCAATGATGCTATCAAGATAAGTTGAAGACAGAGAAGGAAAATGTATTATTATATGAACAGTTTTTATCTTTTCGCTTTCATTCTGATTTAAAAATTGCTCGTTTTTTCTTTCTGTTCACCTGCTAAAAAATTTGCTATTTCTCACTGCCATTATTGTTGACCAATGATTAAAATGATGTAAATTTATTGCATCTTCCACTCTTAGCATGAAACTAATGCGTATGACAAAGCTTTAAATGGCTTATCAAATAGTTCACTTATTTGGCCTTAGCTTCCTTATCTCTTGTTGAAAGAAGAAAATGTCTAATAGTTTTCATCACAAACTAGCTCTTCATCCGTAACATCAAGCGTCACTGTCACCTCCTTATTGGTCAGTGGAGTACTTTCGTCACTCATCATTTTCACAATCTCTTCCAACCTTACTGAAAATTGTCACTTCTGAAAATAAATCAAAAGTACACAATTGAGTGATAAAAGTTACTGGAAAGGTTGAAGGTTCTGAACACTTTTTGATTCAGATCGCTTAAAGGTTGTAGAGGGTGCAGCTCACTGCAACCAACATCTTTTATACACTTAATGATCATTGACCGTTAACAAAAGTATCTTTATGTGTCAACTTAGTCTCATTTCAAGTAAAGTCCTCATCTCCTGTGGCATAATCCTAAAAATTCTTCCTCTATTTTAAAACTGTTTCTCCACACATCAAAATTTTTTCGTATAAAACCGCTGTGAAAAACCTTTTATTATCGATTTTACGCGGTGTGACGCTTTTTTCATACTTTCTTAAATTTCCAATCTCGAATTTCGTATTTTGTGCACTTCTCAGAATTTTTTGTAATTTTAAAACATTCCATTTTTGCTTTTTATTTTTTTTTCGGCTCCATTTTCAAACTCAACGAAATTTAAGAAACAAATAGGCCATCAGCAAAGGTAAATTGGAATTAAACTGTAATATTGTAGGATAAATAAACTTTCACATTTCTCTCTGAATTGAAATGAATGATGGAAATAAAGAAGAAAAAGATGTGACAGTGATGATGTTTGAATAATTCTTCAAATGACTTCAGTTGTTACCATTTTTATAGAAAATCGGACAGTAATTCTGTCCCAGCCTAAGGATTTGCTTCAGTTTTAGCAGTGCTACTTAGCTTATCGAAGTCTATTTATTTTAAATTTCCTTACAGTTTAATTCTATTCATTTAGCTCAAGTCGAAAGTGATGATAAATGGATGTTAAAAGCAATCTCGCATGAAAAACTTCGAACCAAAAACCGACGAAACTTTCATATTCTCTGATTTAGCCAATATTTAGCCAAACTAATTTGTTTCTAGATAGTTTAGAAGGTGGAATTTCATCCATGCAGTCATAAATCAGCATTTGCATTATTTCTCTGGGGAGTAATTGAAGCTTTCTCATTTGATGGGTTCTCTGATCGATCATCTCATAACCGTCGATAAGAACTTATCATTAGTTCTGACCATAAAATCACTTTGAAGGAGCTGTAAATCTTGTTGCGTTCATACATTTGATAGATCTTACTTAAATAACTTAAATAACATTCGAAATTTTTGGGAATCATCAGAAGAAAGCCAAATGCCAAAGTTACAAAAATTTGATCTAGTAATTCGATTGAAGATTTAATTACGGTTAAAGCTTAACTCATTACTTTAGGCTATTCTTATCTCATCCCTTCCTCTCCCATTGTTTAACTGTCATTCTTTCTGATAAAAAGAAATTCGAACTTTCGAGTGAAAATGAGAACATAATTATATTTGATTATTTTCTTAAATTAGGGCGTCATATTTATGAATTGAAAAATTGTTGTGGAAAGACGTCGAACCAAGATGTTGAGTTTAAAATTACTCATGGAAGGTAAAAAAAAAAAGGATCTCAAGTCAATAAACTGGGAAGTGTTTGGAATAGAAAAGAGTAGAGTTAGTCTTCTTTAGGCTTTTCCAGAAACCTGATTGAATCATCTAGCCTTGTCTCATATCTCATATTCTCATAAAGTTGTTAATTTCTAGAATCGTCATCTGCGGTGTTTTCCGATTCGCCGCGCAAATTTCCATTAAAATTTCATTCGCAATAATGCATGCTATTTTCATTCATCACCCAACTAACTTATTCTTAAACTTTCACTCATTGCTTTAAAAACTCTTTAATCAAATATTCTTTGCTATCCTTTTCATTAATGCATTTTTCCTTCATCATCTGGTCACATCATTTGTATTTGCAATTTACCGAAATGTAAGGTTTCCAAAAAATGCGACAATTCAAACCGTTGACTAATTTTTTAGCACTTTTGAAAACATTTTGCAGCTTGTTTACAGCATTCTGTTCTGAGAGGCTATTTCAATTTTTGCACCAATTAGCCGCCAACTTTTGCAAACATACCGTTTTTTAAGTCTTCGAAGAAAATCCTCAAATTTTACACATTTTCCCAACGCAGCTGCTTGCTATTAGCGACAATAGTTAGTTCAATTTGTCAGTTGTGCATTTTTTTACAACTTTTTGAAATGATGGATGTTAGGTAGCGTCCTGCAAGCGTAATAGATGCAGCCATCGTTTTTTTCGAATTCTATCCGCTTGATTCCAGTTAAAAATCTCCGTTCCTTGTCAACTCATTTGTCAATCTCATTATTTTGTCTCCTCCCTAACTTGGTAAAGAGTAAATCTTGATTATCCCAAAGTTAAATACTAATCACTTAGGAATGGACTTCCTTAAAGAGGTTGGACATCTAGGCTAATCTCGGGCTAATTTCCTGCCATCTTATTCATACTTCTGCCAAAGTGATAGTTTATTTTTTCTAGTTTGAAAATTTTGACACAATCTTTAACACCATTCATCCTTTCAGTTAACTTTTTCACAACTACAATATTTGGAAGTACCGTAGTACTCCTAATTAGGACTAATGGAACACGAAGATTAATCTTCCAAACCTTTCACATTTATGTAACCACTTATGAAATATATTCTTTTTATCTTGAAAGCTTAAAATTATCCGTAAAATTCCCTAACTTTAGAAATTCTCTGTAATCAGTTGCGATTCATTTATATATCTGAAATTCATTAAATGTGAGGTAGTTTTAGAAGCTAATTGAATTTTAATGCCAACAAGCACATAGGAAATTGCTTTTAGTATATAAGATCAATGTAAAACCATACTTTTCCTTCAGTTTCTATATTTTACACATATAAATTTCATTTTTTTTGCACATTTTTTTTTGTGTTTCAGATCAGTTTCCAAATTTCAAAAATTTTTATGATTTCAAAATTTTGCTTTGAGCAAAATTTGTAAAAGTTTGGAAAAGTTTTAATTGACTGCTTGGCAATCAGATTTGATTTAAGAATTATTCGGGTGATTAAAGAATTAAATCTATCCTCCGGGAAATTTAAATCTATCCTGGAAAGTTCACGAAGTTTTTTTTCCAACGTATAGCAAATCAAAGTTAGCTGCTAACCATGAAAGGCATTTAAAAAATCGATTTGTCGCATTCGGTCGCGTCTTCGTTTCACTTATTCAATTTCAAAATTCAAATTCTCCATATAGTCGCATGTTTTGATTGGTTCCTGCTAGATGTCCTTTTGCTAATTTCTATCATACTGCAAAGTTTGATTTCTTGAATATATTTTTCTTACATTTCATACACTTTGAATCTTATTTTCAAAATATACACTTATCCGAAACTTTAACGAGTATCTCTAATGCAGATCAGATTCGTATACGATTCCGTGCAATATTTCATCAGCAATTATACGACAAAGAGAACACTGAAGGAATTTCTGAATTCAGGAATCTATCAACCTGATATAATCAATATTAGCAAGCAACAATCGCAATGAAACGGGAAGTTCAGTATGGCAAGGAAATATTTGTACATCAATAAGTGCATTATAAAGTTGCATAAATCGTTGCTTTGCATGTCGCGATGAAGAATTACGATCAAAATGGCAGCATATGGAATAATCGCAATTCATCAAAGTATTTCCATTTTAACTTTTGCAGAAGAAAAAAAATTTTTATAGAAAGAAATTTTCTATAAAGCCCAGAAACAATGTTGTCGTAGTTTATTAACAGGACATTTGTTACTGCAAATGTCACACTACTGAATTAAGTATTCAGGAAATATACTTAGTACGAAGAGAATGATATCATGAATTGTAGAAATTTCAATCCTTGAAATTTCGATCAGAAAAATCTCAAAATTTCAAGAAGTTTTTATTAGCTGAACTTATGGCATTTCTAAAATCTTTCATATTTACTACACTTCCAGGCGATGTGCATTTCGCTTTACACGTCTGGAAATTGCACTTCTTGTGTTTTCCTCTGTTTTGTTGTCGTTATTGATTGGTATCTCAACATTATGGGTTTTTATATATCGAGGTTTGCAAAGAGTTGAATAAATTTGAATAACAAATTAAACTTTATTGAAGGTTGGGGGTATAACTTACGGTATTAATCTAATATATTAGGATGAATATTTTATCCTAGTAAATTCTTGCAAAAGTTTAATGAGCATTCTTGGGATCTTTTAGGTTCAACATTTCCAAATAATGTGAAGCGAGATCTATTCGAAGAAGCCAATCTGTTATCAGTGGGGATTGATGAGAGCGCATTATATCACAATGGCTATGTATGTACTTCTAGGGAATGCGCCCAGATTTCTGGCTTCTTTGCCAATAATCTTAATGATAAGATAAGCTGTTCTGTTTTCTCGAGTTTTCACTCCATAATAAAGAGATAGTCACAAAGATATATTAAACATATAGATAGGATCACTTTATAGACTTTAAACCTTAGTGGTGATTCATTATCATGATAATCAATATTTAACATTTCGAAAAACTTCTTCAATTACAGTTGGAACATTTTTATCAATAAATATTTTATTAAGGGAAGACAAAAGTGGGCAACACTTACAGTGGGATGGATGAGATGAGAAATCCCATCCCCATCTTTTGAATTGTGTATTTAATTTTAAAGTATGAATAACTTTTTAGACGACGGAAATTTTGTAAAGATTATGGATTGAATTTTTCTTTGTCGCTTATAAAGAAAGATTTCGGATTTCTTCATTTCAAGAAACAGAAAAACTTATCAATTTTTCTTCTTATCATAGTGTCACCCTATCTAACACAGTGAACCAAAAAACAAATCATTACGTTTGAGTAAATGTCACAATATATTAACTCATTATCAAACAGTCATAGATGAAATTTGAATAATATTTGGGAAAATTTTTAATTTCCAAAAAGATTGAATAAAAACTTTATTTATGCTTGAAGGCTTAAGCAGCAAACAAATTAAAAATTGGATTTTTTTTTTTGACTAAAATAGTCCCAATTCCGGATAATACTTCATTAACAGGAAAAAAGCTTTTTAAGTTTAAGAGATTCATTTGTTATTTACCACGCACGTTCGATTGCTTTCCTAATTTTCCCTTAAATAAAAGTAGATCATATGTTTGGCTCCTTTTCAGGTTGATCCTTGTGATGACTTCTATGAATACGCATGCGGTAATTATCCAATCAATCGGCACTTGCCATCTAATAAGGCGATTAGACATACCTTAAGCGATATGCAAAATCGTCTCAACAAACAAATTCGAGAATTACTGCAGGTTCAAAATTCAGTTTTATTTGTAATTCAAGTGTACTTTTTCTATCCATGATCAGAAATACTCTTCATTATTTTTCTCTATTCAAAATAATTGTAAGAGCTTTTAAGGCTCCAGTGACTAATGATGATAAACCATGGAATCGCCTTGCAAAGCAATATTATCAAAAATGTCTTAATGAAGGTTTGATTAAATGAAATTTTAGGAATATGAATATTTCATAAGCAAAGTAATCGAAAACTAAAATTCCAAAAATATTCTAAATTTAATACTGCAAAGTGAAATTTGCAAGTATAAATTCGATGGTTTCTTTAATTTCCTTCTAGTGATGGAAAACGTTTTTTTATTTTTTTTAGCGTGAGAAACAAAAAAACAAAGCATTTCTTTTTTTCATTTTTGCACGATGTGAAGTAAAAAGTTCTCTACAGATGAAATATCTTTGGGGAGCGAAAATTATATGAGCCAAGCTTACTTTTGAAATTTTACCTGAAAAGAATTTTGAGGAAAAATATTAATTGTTATTTTCAGAAGAGTTAGAAGCTACGGGTGCTTCATCGATGCGGAAATTGCTTCGTGATTTAGGTGGATGGCCAGTTCTGGAAGAGCACACCTGGAAACCTTGGAGCAACAGCTGGGAAAAACAGTTAGCATATATTATGAACAGAACCGGTGTCAATGCGATTATTCTCGAATTAGCCGTATCACATGATCCACTCAACAGTTCCAGGTTTATTATTGAGGTAAACTTGTTATGCACTTTAAAGGGAATGAAAATTTGCAAGATATTAGGGGGATTTAGGATTTTCTTTATTAAACAGAAAGCAGTGTGCTTATTCGGATACTCAAGCATTAGCAACTTATTTGCAAGCAAATACAATGGAATAATTCAGTTACATTGTTATTGACATTTCATCTCCTTCGACAATTAAGCAAAGACAACCCAAATGCTCTTCCGGGATTCTCGAATGCAACATATAGATCAGTGCATGCTCGCATAATGCGTGCATAGATTTATATGGGTTGATAACTTTCACTGCCTTAATTCTAACAATCCGAATAGTTCTAGCAATCCTGAAATGAAGCGAACCACAATTTTTTTCAGGTCGATCAGCCAAAATGGGGAATAGGCTCAAGATGGCCATATTTAGCAGGAATAAACGATCTAGTCATCCAGAATTATACATCACTGATGATACAGACAGCTATTAATATAGGTATTGATTTTTAATGAAAGAATTTCAAAAAACGAAATAAGTTCCGAAAGGAAATGCTGAACGAAAATAAATGAAATTCTGATTTTTAGGAGCTGATCCAATATATGCCAAACATGATATGAAAAAAGCGATTGAGTTTGAACTACGATTAGTGAATTTCTCGGCTGATGAAATAACCCGACGTAATCCGGAACGTGGTAACAATCGATTTCAGCTCTGGCAGTTAGGCAGTCTCTTTCCGCACGTGAATTTTACTAATACTTTTTATACAGTAGAAGTTAGCAAATCATAAACTAAACATTACATACTGTCGAGAGATGTATTAGCAATGATCCAATAGAGGGTTAAGTGAAATAGAGAGTAAATGGAAATTTTCAGATAGATCTGATCACGTATATCTATACAATATTCGGGGGTTTAGAAAAGCTTAGTCCAAACGATACAATAATCATACGGGAACCGGAATATTTTCGTCGAATTCAGGTTATTGCCATTGTCATATCGTCTTTACTACATAATTTTTTTCATTTACCAAGATTTAAATCTATAGACTATTCTCGGAAATTAAGTGGAATCAAAAATTAGCGGAGTCCTGACTAGACAAGTTGTTAAATCATTACAGGAAGTGATGCGACGGTCCAGTAAACGAACCATTGCAAATTATGTGTTGTGGCGAGTAATTCAGGGATATTCATCATTTCTATCACCTACAATGCGAGAACCATTCTATGCATTCAAAGCTAACCAAACTGGCATACCTAGTATTCCGATTCCGGATAGGTTAGATTTGTTTCATCCTGGAAAATGAAAGCTAGCAAAGATTAGGAAATCAATTCGTGATCATATCAATCATATGAAGAATGCTACTGTTCTGAATTTGAGCCTCAATTCTGATTTTTAATTCCAAGTTATTTTAATTTAGCGCTTGCAATAATTATCTTACATCGAACTGATTAGTAGTGAGAAAATCAAGCTTAGTTATCCCAGCAGATCTGCTAATCCTTTCAGGTGGGAAGATTGCGTCTTCTTGGCAACAATAATGATCGATATGCCGGTTGGAAGGCTTTACATAGCTAATCATTTTGATCAATCAAGAATCATGAAAAAAGTTAGTCTTTAAGTTTCCAATTTCATTATATTAAATATTTAACTTTTTTTAAAAATTTATGATATCGAAGATGTAAGAACACATAATGACAAAAGTTATTGATTTTTAATTAAATAGAGTGTGCCATTCATTCGAATGAGAACAGAAAAAATCAATTAGCTCCATTTAGATGAACGATCTGACTAAACATTTTAAAAATGAACTAATTAAACAACTGCAAACTGTCGACTGGATGGACGAAGAGACACGACGACGGGCGGTAATCAAAGCACAGCATATAAACTATAAGAGCGGTTTCCCTTCTTATATTTTCAACGAAAGTTATATGGAAAAAAACTGGGCTTTGGCAAGTTTAAAAAGTTGTCTTGCTTATATTTCAAATATATTTTTATACTACAAGAATTTTTTGAGTGTTACTGACAAGTCAAGTGCCATAATTTTTGTATCAGATGATTTTGGTAGCACTGAATTTACCTAATTTCGATTATATGCTAAATCATAAGTTTTTTTCAGCCTGAAACCACAGATAATGAATCATTGCTTGAATTTACAATACGTATTAAATGTGCTCGCATCACCGATGAGCTAATGCGATTGAAAAAATTTGTGGATACATCAATTTGGTTTCAAGGTCCAGCTCAGGTTGACGCCTATTATGCGCCAAATTTAAATGAAATGAGTTAGTTTCAGCAATTCAAATAAAATAGTAAGCGCTAATGCAACAGTGTGATTTCTTATGAAATTTTTTATAAGTTTTTACAATTTGCAGTATTTCCGGCTGGTATAATGCAATTTCCGTTTATGTCACCCGGTGTACCAAGTTATGTTACCTATGCAATGGTTGGCGCTGTTATTGGACACGAAGTGTCGCATGCCTTCGATGATCAGGGTTTCTCTAATAATTTATTATACTTATTTGTGGATAGCTCTCAAAATCAAAACTTCAATTTTGTCTCTTGTAGATTTCATAATTGCTCAACTGACTAATTTATTCAGGTGGTCGTTTTGATGAATACGGTAATTTGCATAATTGGTGGGGTGTGCAGACAGCACGTAAATTTCATGAGAAAACAGAATGCTTCATAAAACAATATAATGCAGTAAAAGTGGAAGAAGCTGGCGTACATTTAAATGGTCAATTATCTGTTGGGGAAAATATCGCTGATAATGCTGGTGTAAAGACAGCACTCATAGTTTGTTATTTTTTATAATCATTTGATTGCAAAAAATTTTGAAAGAGTAAATGCTTCTTTTATTTAAGCCTAAATTATTATTTTCCTATCATTTATTGTAATTTGATTTCTTTTTAGGCTTATAAATCATGGGTTGAAGAAAATTCTCGTCAGGAAGCAGCGCTACCAGGTTTTCAAAATATGACCAGTATGCAGATGTTTTTCCTTGCTTATGCAAATGTAACTTCATTAGCTAAACCTTTTTCCTTGTAATTTCAATGTTTGATTTAAGGAATGAATAGAAATAATGAAATTAAATTTTTTCCAGTAGTTTTGATTAAAATGACAAGGGTTTTTATGAACAACTATTTCACATAGTTTTAGCAAGTTTCATTTACCTACTAGATTATCTAATTAATTCCCAAACTTATTGTACTTTTGTATCTTATTCCTTATCTTATCAATAATGATTTATTCATTTACTCATTGTAGTAAGCTTGCAGAATTGGTGCTCATTGATAAGGCCGAAGCATTACTTGCAAATTATTATGGCGGATGTGCATGCACCAAGCAAGTATCGTGCCATAATACCACTTCAGAATCGACCTGAATTCTCTGAAGCATTCCACTGTCCCATAGGTTCACCGATGAATCCAGTAAAGAAGTGTTCCATTTGGTGATTTGAATTGATAATACAAATCGAAATTAATGATTTGATTTGACGCCCATTTAGAGTTTTATTATTGCTCTTACAGATCCTACTTAGTTCCCTTGCTTAAGTATTTCGAGATTTCATACATCATACAACTAGTTTATGTCATGTTAACAAAAAGTATAACAAATGAATCTCATATTTATATTTGCATAAAAATAAACAAAAATTGTGTGATCTGAAGTGGACATCAAAATTATTCTCTTTTCAGGTTTCTAGCAATAATAGTAACGAAAGGCTTTTATCTATCTCAGGTACATGGGAATGAACTTAACTTGTTATGTAATTGAAATTGTTCTCTTGTAAATTTCCTCATCAACTTCTTTTAATCTTTATATGATGCACTTTTTGCTGATCTCTTTCTATTCTTTTTCATTTTTTATTTATTTTATTTACATCTCATTTATTCACTCCTTTTCATCAACAAGATTTTATACAGCTCATAGAGAAGATTTTGACCCACAAAAGGATATTACTGGAAGAACTTCTTCTAGAGAAGCTGGAGATTCCTCCAATTATTAAATTGAGTATGCATTCAAGCCATATAGTGACTCTTCTAATTTGCCGAAAATATCCCAATCCTAATTATGCCGAATTAATTAATTTTGAAAATTTCTCGTCAAACCACATTGCCGTATAGTGTTCATTTTAATCTAGTTAATTTGTATGAAAAAGCTTTATGTTTAATCTTCTTCATGCATTGATTTTTATTTTCTACTTTGTCATTAAATGATTCGAAATTATCCTTGCCGTATGATTGGAAATTTTTTAATTGCATAAAGTTTTGACGTCATTATAATATTCTCATAGTAAATGACTTCAGAATTTGTAGTCTTGTTGAGGACCGTATCTGTATCTGTTCCGTTGATTTAACTTTAGTATTACCTCTCAACAATGATCATACATCATGATAACAGTTCACCGAAACAAAAAGTATAAGCACTGTCTGCTTTCAGAGCTGAGAACCTCTGAAAGATAATGTTAAATATTTTCAATTAAATATTTTCCGAAAAGTTTTTTTTCTTTTTTTTTTCTGAGAGAACTAATGGAGAAATTAGAGACTCTCACGGGAACAGTACTAATAATTTTTGCATTAAGCTGAAAGGAATGAATGAACACAAGTAAAAAGATTGCAATTAATTTAAAATGAACTGAATATTAACATAGATATGGATAATATTTCTAAATATTTCAAATAATTCCACAAATTTTGAAAATAACACTGACCATGTTTTTTGCTTTTTTATTTGTAGCGAAAATAAATTCTTGGAAATCAGAGATCACAATTTCGAAGCAGGTGTATCACGTGAGACCATCTGTCATGCGGTACATGTATATTCATTAATGAATACATATGTAGCCATAATAAGCAAGGTCATTACTGAGTCATCCAGAGAAGAGTAAAGTTTTAAAATATTAACTAATAGTTTATTGTAAAAATTCGAATTTTTCATTAGCGCAAAGAGAAGTCATTTGTTGAGCGCACCTTCTTTTCCAACCTTTGACATTTCAGAGATGGATGAACAGATTGTTTAGATTTACGTGGACAAAATTGTCGCATTGGCGCAGTCCTGATGATATTTTCTCATCAGCTGGAAAAATTATAAAAAGCTTTCGCTTTAAAATAAAACCTTTTTGCTTTAGTAATATAAGAAACGAACTGTTTCCCACGATATCCATTCTATTTTAAATGTCTGAATAAAATCAAACAAGGAAAAGAGCAGAATTCATCAAAATGCAAGAGTTTCCACTGAATATATAATTAATTACCTATTAAATGTTTCCATCTAATAAGAATTTTGATTTTCATCTACTTATTTCGTTTCAAAAGGAATTGGATGAATGGGAAAAAGAGATGAATAATGGAGCGTTTTTCATCTGCAGTTGTTCAGATGAGAAGTTAAGGAGGATAAGGTGGAAAAAACAATTATCTTTCTTAGTTAAAAAAAATAAAGTAATTGAATACCTGAAAAAATTTCACAATTTCTATACGATGTTTTTCTCGAGTTCCAGGTAATTCTTTCAGCATACTTTCAGTCTGTAAGTATTTTATCTCTACATTAGCAATTGTTTATTGAACAATTTTCTTTAAAGGAGTAATTAAAATTTAACTAAGAAATGCAAGGCCTAATGAAAGAGTTCATTATTTGTTAAGTTATATTACTTGTCAGATAATTCTATCATCATCTTATTCATTATGCTATTTTATCATTTTTTCTATTTATTGCTTTTATCATTTGTTATTATCATTGTCACCATTATTCGGTCTTTTTTTCCTTTTTTTTAAACAATTTTTTTAAAAACAGTTTTTAAACAATAGAAAAATTCAAGTTTTGAAAAGTTTTCATACATCATATAACTGTTTTTGAAATTTTTTGAGCGCATCAGCGTAAAGGGCGTTGTTTACTTGAATTGTTTCTGGAGTCTTGGCTCCTTTTAGTTCATACTTCGCAAAATCTAGCGCTTGGCGAAATTTTTCTAACGCTGAAGGAAGAGATCAATCATTCAAATTGAAGAAAATTCTAATTTAGATCAATTTTAAATTTAAACCCGTCATTTCCAAGCGTGTCGTAACTTACCATTCCTTGCGTCTCGAATATTTTCGTAATCGACATTAATGAATGTTCGAATGCCGTGTATAGCTCGGCGACCTTTTCGCTGATATTCGCGATGTAACGACGCAAGTTTGAGTGCTGAGGTTTGAATTTGTTCGAGTTCCTGCAATTAATGCAAAGTTACATTTCAATGGCACAGATAAAAAGTGCTGAAAATCGTGTGGTTTCAATAATCTTCCAATTCATTTTTAATTGGCTGGATAAAACTAAACATAATTAAATGAATTAATTCGAAATAAAATTTAACTTGTAGCGCATCGCTTATAGCATTCATCATTTTTTTTTTTAATGATAAGAAAAGGTATGCGAAAATAAATGTGACTTTTTTGACTCCATTTGTTGGCTTGTTATCTTAAGCGCCAATTCCAATAACTCAAAGGGATCTTCTTGTGGTGGAGCCTCCACTTCCATTTTGCCGGGTGGTTTTGGCACATAACGTGGATCCTGCTGAAGAGTGGAAATTAATTGTTGTGCTATATCCTCGACGATAACCTGAAATAATTTGTAATTTGATAAATGATAGTTTCAAAAAGAATTGTTTGAAAGTGAACAAATTAGAAAGCTAAATTGAAGGGTCTGATCAGGGATTACATGTCTCATCATGTTTTTTTGTTTTTTTCTAAATCAATTAATCAATCAATTATCTAAATCAATTATTGAAATTATAACATAGATATCGTATCATATCATATCATCCTGATCCATTCGCTTATCTGCCATGCTTACTCTGTATTCGTCCACTTCCTTGCACATATCATTGAAACATTTGGTATATTCAGTCTTTTCCGTCGCACCAATTTTTTCACTAATTCGCATCAACAATTTCCGGAAACCACCACGTTGCTGTCCTGTCTTTATATCAATTTCCTGATGGACCACTGACCCTCTATCCACTTTTAATTGGCTAAAATTTTTAATTTAATTCAGAATGCAAATATTTTTTTAATTTCATTTTCAAATTAATGAATAATATTTCAACAAATGGCATATTTTGTACTTACCTATCGCTTTTCGATCTTGCTGTTTCTGATTTTAACTGTCCTCTTAAATTTGAAATCTTTAGGTTATCTCGTCATTTTATGCTATAAGATATGAAAAAGTGGACCCAAGAGTTAGTCTTCCTCACTTTTGTAATGCAACAAATAAAATTTTTGACGAAATTTTGATTAGTTAAAAAATTATTTGATTATTTTTACAAAAAATTCTCAAAAGCCCTTCCAAATTTAATTTTCAATCTAAAAGCTAAGTTGAAAGGCCTATTTTCAATAACTTTTTCAACAAATAAATAGTCTAAAACCAATACTAAACTGGATTTGAAATTCATATACTAATTACTAAAGTTTTTTAAAATTCTTCCAATTAACTTTTTTCAACATGGAGTTAAGCAGATTAATTTAGTTTCTTTAATTCCTCCAACTAACTACAAGTTTAATTTCAATCTGCCCAAACTCCTGCAAAACATTAGTTAATAAGCTAATTATCATGCTTTAATGAATGTATAGAAGGTAGAATGCTTTCGCTATACATTCTTTGAAATACACTGATAATAAGCTTATTAACTGATATTTCAATGATCAAATGAGTGTTGTCATCAGTCACCAACTCACATTACCTGCTTTTAATGACGCAATTTGGACACATTGAAATCCATAATCTAAGACTAATTTAACATAACCTTACATCTTACTTCCCGACCGCTTCGTAGGTGTGGTCATTTTTCATATGTTATCAATATCATAACAGCGAACATTTTATGCGATTTTTAGTTTACTGGGTTTTTTGCTTACAATTTTGTTTATTTCAATTGCATTTGCACAAAATCTTCAATTTCGAAATTTTCCAATTTACAAAAAGGTTTTATCATTCAATATTTAAATACAATCATTCCTTGAAATTATCGTTTCATTTTTGCTTGAAAATTTGATAAAAATGCTAAGCTTTTTGTCACGTTACGTATTCCCATTTCGTCATTGGGTAACAGAATAATTTGCTAGGAGAATTAATTGTTTTTAAAAAGTGCCAAGATCATATGTTTGTTAACAAACTAAACAGCTGCTTTTCTTCCCAACTATTTAAATATTTTTTTGAAATTATTCTGTAATCTGCTCTTATTTTAATATTAGACTTATCAAAAAAGACATGGATAAATCGATCAATTTTTTAATACCGTATGATCAGCATTGATTATTGTTGAAATAAATAAGAAAAAGGATCAAAGGGAATGGTATTATCTAAATAAGTTCTCATCGAGAGTAGAAATAGAAAAATATTGGTGAAAAAGTGATAAATTAGATTTATCAACAAATTAGAATAATTTGAATAATGAGTGACATATATATATATATTTATTACCTGACATGAAAAATTTATGCAAATTATGCCTTTTCGCAATTAGTATTTTGACATAAAAATAATCATTCATAAGAAGAAAAAAGAACTTGAGCCTAATCATTTTCAGGTTCATTTTTTTGCTGATAAATTGATCTTTTCCATTTAAATGCCTAAGTTCATTTAATTTGTTGGTTTTAAAGGGAAGAAATTTTTGTTTGACACATTCAGACAAATGCATCTGATAAAAAAAAATCACTTGTCAACGACATTTAACTGATTGTTTTGTCCTTTTGTATAACACTTTCTAGAAAATGCAATGGCAAAAAATACTGGAATAAACTGCAGAAAAATGTTCATAAAAAAAGAAAGTCCCTCCTGAAATATTTGTCTTTTAAATGACAAAAATTTGAAGAAAGATATACCGTACAGAGTTTGATTCTCCTTGCTTTATAGATAATGAATTTTTATAATCATATAACTCTGACAAGCAGGTGCTCACTAAACTTTAACCATCGAGCACTTTTGTTTGCCAAACAAAATCTCTCAAGATTCAAATTTCAACAACACGTATTGAGTTCCAAATTACCCTCATAAGTAATAAACAATTTCTTTTCTACTTAAATATTATGTTCGAACGTTTGGAATAATGATTGCACAAATTTTAATACAAAATATGAATTATGTTTAATTGAATATCTATTTCATTCACGACTTTCAATTTTCAGCTTTTTTGTCACAGTTTTATTTTATTTGAATATTTAAAAATAAATGTTTGAAAATTTCAACATGATTTTTCCCTTAAAATGGAGAGAAATACTATATCGAATATTCCTGATCTTTTTCCTTCTCTTATGGCAATATGTTTTTATAACGAAAAATGCCAAACTATTTTGAGTCCGTTGACATAGATTTTCGAGCCGGAATATTCTCCTTGGTTTCTAGCTCGATTTATCCCCAGCTTGTCGATTATATTTTTCAGGAATGAATCATTCGTAGGATCTTCACATGGTGCTAAATAGCACTGAACAAGTAATGCAAGCTAGCCGGACCGATGAAATTTACGCCGCTGTGATCTGCTTTACGGTTTCTATTGCTGCTAATTGAATAAGATAATAGTGAAATCCTATATTGCATTAACACGCCGCAATATAGCGAAGCTGTAATAGTGGGTCACGTGTAGACTCACGTGTATTCTTTATTTTTTGTTTTTTGCTGCTAATGCAGTGCATGCTTCTATATTGCAGCTCGCAGTACTCGGCATCATAACAAACGGTCTTGCAGTTGCAATCATTGTATCTGCGAAGAATTTGCAAAATGCTTTTGGTTATTCCTGCATGTCGCATGCAATTGGTGACCTTGGTGTATTGGTCATTTTCGCTACATGGTTACCAATTCAGTTTATTCTGTAAGCTTTTTTATCCGTTATATGATAAAGTAATAATAGTGAAGCGAACTTTTACGGCGCATATTGTTTTATCATTTTGCGCCACTTCTATTGCTTTTAAAAGAATACTTTTGATCAAAATCAACAAAGCCAATTTTGGATGAAGTTTTTTATGTGGAGAAGATGCTTAATTTAATCCAAAAATTATCGCCAAATTTTTCTTGCTGTTATGCAAATTGCCAATGCCATTATTAGATGAATCGTAATCTAATGTAATAAAAAGACAAATAAGAGGGAGCTAGACTAACATTCTAAATACACTTTCAGACAGATAAATGAAAGGTAAACACAGAAAAATCTGCCAAAAATTTCCAGCATTTTAAATTCTTTTAATGATAAATTGCAACAGATATGCTAATTAACGTTTTCAGATAAGGATTTAATACTTTACAGACCAGCTCTGTCTCGGCGTAATTGTCACTTTATTCGAATGATGCAAATGTCGGCAAGTGTTACCGCATATAATAAGGGGGAATAAAATAAGAAAAAAAGAAAAAAAGTAGATATGAGAAGTTCGTGGTCCTATTTTATGATTAGATTGAAGAATTAAAGATGAGTTCAAGTTCATAAACTTTTCTCAAAGAAGTCGTAAATAATTTAGGAAACTTAAAAACTTCAAAGTTAAAAACTTTGGGCTGTCGGAATACGAAAAAACTAAACAAACTTATTGGGAAGTTGTAAGCTTTATATTTGAGTTCTCTCGAGAAGTATTTCTAATCTTCTTGAGTTTTAAGATTCTAATTTTCTTAGGAACAACTAAATTTATTATTTTTCAAATAAAAAATTGAAAATTTGCCAAAATGCGCCACTGGAAATGAAACAAAAGATGAACAAAAGATAAGCATTTATTAACAGTGTTATAAATTAGTTTGATTCATTAAATAGATTACAGTATCCGTAATCACGTTGGATTTTTCACATCACTTTTTTGTTCGTATTTATGCATTTACCTTGCAGACTAAAATTTATGGTTCAATTCCTCCATTCCCATCCTTTTTGCTTTGATAGGCTCTCAAATGGATGACCAATATTCACAATAAAATTGTGTTTTGTAAGCTTAAACAGGACTTTTGCGCCTTCAAATTAATTTGTGAAATCAAGAACGGTCAGGAAATAATTGGTTCGGATTCAGAAAGATTTGTGTATCTGATTTTCTTAATTAACCCTCTGAAAATGCGGTAGTTGGAAGTTAACTGATTCCAAGTGGTGAACAATTTGAGTTCGAATTTTTAAGGTAGATGAGAAAAATAAGAGAACATACTGAAAGAAATCGGTAAAGCGATGAATTTGAGTTTTGGAAATAGCCTCCCTCTTGTTTGTTCGATTACTCTTGATAAGAAAGACCGTTAACGAGAACACGCTTTCTTTATTTTAACAAGTTTATATCTTTCAAAGATCACTTCATCGCAAACTTCTTTCCTTTTCTTAAAAAATTAAGGAAATTTTACTCGACCGAATTGAAATATTTTAAAAAGTGTCACATATTTATTTCAGTATATTCAACTCACATATCTTCCTATTCCTAATATTCTTTCAAATAATTACAAAAACTTCAGTCATATCTACCTTTATTTGCTTTGGAATCACGTGGACGGATATTGCTTCCAATAATTTATAAGCGTGAAAGCTCTGCAACAAATTTATCAACACTATTACATTTGGTATCGTCGTTGCAAAAATGTCACAGGCCATATGTTACTTCCATGCTAATTTTATCAAATCTGTACGGAATAAATGATTTTGTGATCAGTTGTGACCTGAATTAAATTGCCGAATGTAAGCAATGCATAACGTATTATGAGATATTGCCTCAAATGACAGATTCTTTCATTTTCGTTGATTATCATATTGAATATCAGTTCTCGTAAACTTTTGAGTACCTTATTATTGCTCATATAGCAAACGTTGAGGTATTCGTAATTCTTTAAACATTTGTCCTTTAATTGAAATACATTAACTTTCTCACTAAATGACTTTGGAATTTATCAGAATTTTTAAACGTCCCTGAAGAACTTTTTCAAATATTTCAATAAAATTGGAACTCTTTGAGAAAAATTTTGCTTGTTATAAATCTTACGGTGTCGAGATTCATGATTTTTTGCAAAATTATTTGCTACCATAAAGTATTCATGCAAGGACATCTCATACGAATTGCAAAGTCTCTATAGTCTCTATATTGTCATATTTCGAGATGCTTACTATACTTCTTCCAGTTACAAACAGATTCCATTCTCAGTGAATTCTGAGGATTTCTCTTAGACAAATTGTGTACTTCCAATTGCTAATCCTGAACTAAACAAAATTATATGCAAAAAATCGAATATTTTACTGTAATGATATTGATTATATATGAAAAATAGTCCCATCTGCGAAGAGGTTGAAAAAATAAAACATATGGTTATATGACTCCTTACGTTATAAATCTTATAACTCCTTACGTTATAAATCTTGCGACACCCAAACTGTGTCTCAAAAATAATTAATATGGTTGGTGACCGATGACAATACTCATTTGATTACTAAAAATGTTACATAACAAGCTAATTATCAGCAAGTTTCAAAGAATGAGCGAAAACAGAATTTTAATTCTATATTTCTTTCATGCATTCATTAAGGCATGATAATTAGCTTATGAACTAATTTTAATCAACTAATTGCGAGCTTAGGTAGAATGAAATTAAATTTGTAGTTAATGAGGAGTTAATGTCAAATTAAATTTGTAGTTAGTGTTGATTCATTATGACAGAATAAAATTAAAATTCAGATTAATAGAAAGTAAATTTAACTTGTCAGCTTATGCATAAGTGAGATTACAGTTATTCAAGATAACAAATACTTTAGTTGACATATTTCACTTTGATTCATTATGTCAGCACAAAATGATATTCATTATGTGTGATGAATGATTAAGCAATTAGTCATTCTCTGTTGTTGATTGTAAAAGAAAAATAAAAATTTTTCGCAATTTAAGGAAGTTGATAAACACTGCTTATCAGTGCGATATGTTATTATATCCTAATAACACTAAGTGCTCACAAAGAAATTTAGAACTCCGGAAACTATGCCCGAGTTTCTGCAAAGCAAACGATTAGCTTATACAATTGGCCAAGGAACGATTGTATTTTATTATGGCGCAATTTACACACATGTATTGATTGGCCTAAATCGCTATATCGCCATTGCAAAGCCATTCACATACGGAATATACTTTAATGATCGTAAAACGATAAAATGGATTTCGCTAATATGGATCATTTCTTTTATGCAAAGTTGTGTTTATCAATTCGGTAAATTTTTCATTTCCTAAAAGGAAAACTCTTTTGCATTTCAAAAAATAAAAAATTTTCATTATCAGCGATAAAATTTTGCTGATTGATACCTTCCAAAAATATTTATAAATCTCTGAAAATTCATAAAAGCAAATATTCTGAGAAGATTGAATCATTCATATTATTTCAGATGGTTGTCATTATTATTTTGATCGTAGTGCCATGTTATTTCTTTATTCTGATGAGCTATGCGCCCAAATCATTTCTGCTTATTGCGAATTTTACTTCAATTTAGCATTTGTGATATTCGTCGTAATACTCGATATAATGACATTCTTTAAGCTGAAGAAAATGGCTAAGGTTACTTTTAATATAATATACAATTTAACTGAAATTTACTGCAATTGTTTCGATTAATTTACGCCGAATTATTATTGTCGCTTGCTATCTTTAATTAAATAATGTTCCTTTAAGCCTAGAACCTTACCCTTTACAACAATATCTCACCCATAGTTTACACTTCTTTTCCAGTATACATGCCACGAATATGACAGGTAAGGCAACAGTACAGGTTAGAAGAAACATGGCACGAATTTTTAAGAATAACAATCAATTCCTCTACTTCTCACAAAAATGGATGTGAAGTTGATAAATGAATAACAGAGATATTTATCGGATTGATAAAAAAATCACCTTGCAGTTTGATTTCAAATTCTGAATGAAGATAATCAGATGAAACCAGTATTAGATTAATCAATATTACATGTTCAATGACCCCTTCATAGATGATCAAATGAAAATAAACTTTTACCAATGAGGTTGGTGCTTACAGGAATTATTGCATCTCTTTATTGCAGCCATCACAAGGCCAACCAGCACAAGAACATGCAAACCGTAGGCGGAGATCGCAAGAGATTCGATATTTCATTCAGGTGATTTAATGACTTAAATTTCATTACAATCCAAAGAGCCTTTGGGCATAATAATATCGCTTCCATTACTAGTTTGCTTGGCTTTATCGTACAGTATAGAAGCGATTTTAAACGACGGCTTTTCCTTTCATCTTTTATCATCAATAAGTCATCATGTTTTCAGTCTGTTTGTTCGGAAACCATGCTTATATTGACATTTCTATGCTTTTGGAGTGTTGCTGTCTATGCGACAACACCGTTTTCCACGTTTGTGCTAAATCTCGGTGCCTGGGCAACAATGCACACCGTTGATGGGTTTGTTAACTCTTTGTGCATTTCATCACAAATGTTTCAATTCCTTTTCAGCCATCCATCTATGCCATAACTCTCAATAAGATTCAATGAGACATACAAAGAAATGGGAATATTCTTAATTAGCTTACCCTTTGATAACATATCACTGATTTGATTGGATCACTTTTAAGGTTTTAAGGTTTATTATGACTGCATTCAATCAACAAATCATTACTCGCATAAAGAAGACAGCAAAAAGAGCCTCTCTGCCAATGGCGACAATTGTTCTATCAGCAACAACCAAAAGGATCGATCATAATCAGACCCTGAACGTTCAACAACGCTGGTTGCGTATGTATCGCGAGAATAATTTGAAAACGAACAGAATTGAACCATCGAGCATATATGCATAGATTGTATAATTTCACATTTCTTAATCCTTCCTTCACTACATAGAATATTCAATACTCGAAGGTAAATGGGCGCAATTCATAGTGAATTGCCTTAAAGACAACAAAAGATCAAATTAAATTTAAGCTCAGCATTCAAAATCTCTTACTTCAGTTATTGTTTCCAAATTTGTTTATGTTTCAACTCGTTGCTAATTGTTTCAATTTTGCATAAACAATAATACAATTACTGTCTAATTATTTCCTTCCTTGTCAACAGTTTTATCAGATTTATATCACTGCGATGATATAAGTGTGATAAAACTGTTGCATTGATAACTATAATTTGAGCTGATGTTTAATGAAGCAATTGGGGAAATAATTGTATTATTTTTCATTAAGCCATAACAGTACTAAACGAAATCTAAAAAAGTTCAAATTTCTAATAGTGAGTATCAGTAAAATATTATTGTTATCAATGCGATCATTTTTCAAAACAATCTTTGCAAGATATCAATGTTTTTATGGACCAATTTCTGTTGATGCTTTCAATACTGAGAGTTCCAAAAAAAAAAAGAAAAGAAAAAACGAAATAATTGAAAATTAATTTAATTCTTATAAAAAGTAGTCAGAAATCTGAAATTCTATGAGCTGTGAAAATTCGCACTTTGTTGAGAAAAACAAAAAAACTTTTCTCCCATGATTTTTCTTTCGCTCTTGAAATTCATTTGAAACTTTTGGTAATTCTGCTTTCTCTATTTATTATAAGGCATGGCAATAGAGAAGGTAAAATTCTTAGAAATAATTTTGTCAGTTTTTCATTAAATAACATGTTAGTTCAAAATTTTTGTTATTAAGGGAGGAAATTGTCTGCGAGATTCCTTGTTGATTTTTTATGAAGTTAGTTATGATCAATTAAATGATATCAGGAGAAAAGGGAAGAGCAAAAGTATGACTTTCCTTAGTGAAATCTTTTAGTTATTGCAGCTTCTAAGGGTCTTTGAAAAAGTTTAGCGTTTTGTAGGTTCGCAATAGATTTTATTATCTTTCATATTTTTTCAATTTCAAGAAATTGTATTTCTTATTTATATTACCTCACTATCATGAGTTATGACGTCAATCTTCATTTTTCTGTTTGAATATTTTCCCAATTTTATGATTTTCAAAATCCAAATGCATAAAATTTCGAACAAAAATATGCTGCTTTTTGTTTTTTCTTAATAAATTTCGGGGAAATAAATTTTATGATATGGTAATTTTTAATAGAGCTCTCAATAATTACCGTTTTGTTTTGATATTAGCTGGTTCATTTAATATCATTTTAATTCAAGCGCTAAAGTCATCGTGAATTTTGCGTTTCAAATGTCTAACGTCAAACTCAGTTTAGAGTAGAAAAGTTTGAAATTTTATTCAATTTAATTTCATATTAAATTGCTCTTGATCCATAACTCTTTCATTTATTTTTTGTCTGTTTGAATTCCAGAGAAATCTTTTGTCATCATGATTTTCGACAACTTGACTAGCGAACCTTAAAGTACTTTTAGCATTTTTTTTTACAATACTTCAGAATATAACGAAATGTAACCTTAATTATTGGCACTTAATAATGCTTCTATTCAGTTTAGCAGAAATGATAATTCAGAATCAAAGAAAATAGTATAATCAATGATGATATCCCATCGAGAAGTAAATAGCACAACGTCTAATTATCCATCAGATAAGCTTTTCTTCATCTTTTATTTTCTGCTCCCTAAAGTTTCTCATTTTTCGATCGAATTACGTGGTGTATTATGTAAGAAACGTTTGTCATCGTCATTGCAAAGTATGAAGATTGTCTTCAGTGATATTAATTTTTTTCAGAAAAAAAAATTAAACTGTAATTCTAAGTATATAGTTGAACGGTCCAAAAAGAAAAATTCTTCTTTTAATAGTTAATCCACAGTTTTTATGATAAGTTGTTTTACTTTGCCACCTATCCTTATCATCATTTTATTCTTTCTAATATCAGATTTTCTTTCTCTCAAAAAAACAATGCATCAAAATATGCAATTCTTGCCCGAAAAATTAGAGATTTCAGTGCGAATTCTCCGATATCTAACTAATAAGGCGAAGAGTTATTTCTCACTTTTTAAAATAATTTTTTTTTCTTTTGGAACTCCCTACAAACTACTTCCAACTCAATCTCTATTCAGTTTCTGGCAGACATTTTAACTCTTCAATCTTCTATTTTTATGCAAATTAAAATTATTTATAGAAAAAGTGAGATCATGAATGTATTCATTTCGACCATTTCTCTCTATTATTCCTCTTCCTAATTGAATAGCATTGTATTGGCTTACATAATCAACGGTTGATAGTAAGATATAATAAAAGAAAGATATGAGGTAAGATATCATTCGAAAAATGACAATTTTTCCATAAAAATGAACATTTTTCAAATAATACAAAAGGAGAGACTATCAGATAGAGAATATGATAATGTATTTCTTCTGAGAGCAAATCACTCTAATGATATACTCAATTTTAATTTAGACAAATCTTTGTATCAATACCATTCGAAAAATGAAAAACAAATTTTACCAAATCCTTTCCATCTTTTAAAGTTTTGAAAGTTGGCTTTCAGTTCAAATGGCACACCATAAATGAGTTCAATAATGTCCAATAATGAAAAGAAAAATGCATGACTGATGAAAATAAGTGACGAAAATAGTTAATACTTACCAGTTACCAGTTGGTTTCTGGCCTTAGGCTACAATTATGAATGTTAGTAGCGAATTCTTGAAGCAAATACATTAAAATATATATCACTTTTACCAGCTAAGGCCACTGTCGAAGACATTAAGCGAACTGGAGTACAATTCGATGAATTTCATTCCGTGAAATATTGAATTTAAAAGTGTTTTCTGCATTAAAGCCATTTCGTAGTAAAACGATAACTGATCAGCTTCTTTGGATGACATTATAGTTAAATTCAGCTTTTTGATAACAGCAAACTTTTTACACTCATGATGAAAGTGCAATTGAAATAAATTTGTTTGAATTAAATGAACGTCTACAAATGTTTTCTAATATCTTACCTTTTGGCCGACAAAGTGAAAACTCCAACTTTTATTAACAATGTCACAGTGAGCATGAAATATGTGATTATACTTAAATTGAGCTACAGTTGACAAGTGGTAGGTATAACAATAACAAAAGTGGGCGGAGAAGGACACTGTATTAGAATGACGAGAAACCACTTAATCTATTTGTATTGAATCATTTTCAGGAAGAAAAATCGCCTTTATATATTGTACGCGCAATTGTTCCATCAGTACAGGATCATTAACTTCCTTGGTCTTCTAAATGGATTTAAGCTATCTTTTCTTTCCTTCTTACTTTCTGTAAATATGCAAATAATGATTATAACAGATGTTGTGACGGAAGGATAACAGAGAGTAGCAGCGGAAAGCATATATTTGTGACAGTGAAGTGACGGGAACCTTTTGATCAGAAGAACTCTGGGAAATTTCTTGTTCTTTTTTGAATGGTATATTTCATATCGATTGACTCTTTTTGAGGATAATACCTTATCAGCAATGGAATATTTCATGATAATTGCTATTTGATAGCATAATTCTCAACGCTTTTCATTGTTTACTTTAAACACGGCTTATCAATTCAATGGTTTTAAGGGTCGAATAATCTAAAATATATCTTTGCTTCGACATTACAGCAATTTTCTTGTCACCAAAAAGGACAAGAAAACTTTTTTCTAACAAAGTTCATTAAGCACACACAGAAATAGACACAGATACACAAAAATACACAAGTTTATGATTAAAAGTCAGAAATGAACTGATTTCCTTTTCCATTTGATCTAAAATGAAAGAACCGATTTCTGTCTTCTTTTTCCATTTAATTATTCCTTCTGAGAAAGTTATGCCAAAGAAAACAAAATGATAAGGTAAATGATGATGAAGCGTTGGCGGAGGCGGTAGACAAAATGGTATAAAATTAGGTTAATTTGCTTATGTCACATAAACAAGCCTCATTCTACCACAACTTTCCGTTTAGATTAGATGAGAAATGCTATATTCCAAAAATCTATTCTTTCTGGTACAATGGACGATTTCTTTAACCATTTTTAATTCTATTTCGACAGAATCAAAAATGTCATCTTTTGTCATTTGACTCATCTGCTTTTTCGTAATTTAAAATTTGTTCTTTCAATGTTTTATTGTGTTATCACCCATTTTATGAGATGAAATATATTACTATTTTTGTCAGAAAATACCGATGGCATACAAAGCTTAGTTTCTGAATACCACTGAATTCTGGGAATCTTGTATTAGTTACGAAATTCATCATTTTACCGAACTGACCTTCCCGAATTCAAAGATTTAGCTCAGGCAAAAAGCTGAATTTCTGACAATAATATTTAGTAAAAGATTGGAATTTTAATACTGGGTTATATATATGGCTTACAAAATTATTAATAAAAATTATGAAAGATATCACCGAAGATATCACTGTATCGATTAAAAAAAACTGACAACGATTAAAACAAACTTCAATGCCATGAAGATCTCGCATGAATTATGCCCTAAGTCCTGGATTTAAAGATTTGAGCGCAACCACTTCTTAGCTTCTTTGTAGCTAATGGAACAGTTAATCTTGTCTACTCTAAAAGTTGTTAAATCATACTACCTGTACATTGCTCGAATTCAATTATTAAACTATTTGCATGTTGTGAGGATCAAAACCTCTTGTTTATGAATTTATGATAGAAAAAGGAGAGAATAATAATTGAAAATTTTAAATTAATCTTTTCCAATCAAAATTTGAACAAAAATTTCGACAGACTTGCTCATTAATGAACTGATAGCTACGCTCTTTATTTGTACTTTTTGCTTTCTCATTATTTAAGATGGAACTCAATGGTGATGACTACTTGCTAAACATTGTTTAAGGAAGTTTTTTTTTGGTGCAGAAATTTCATCTCCAAAGCTAATATCGAAAGTGTCGTCAGCGAGGGATCAATA